GATATGTTTTATAATGATTGATCATTAAAGTGTTCTCAAAGCTGGTAAAGGTGCAGCTAGTTTGAATGACTTTGTATACTGCAGGGTAGCTTGTGAATTTACTCCAGGTGGAACTAAAGTCTGATTTAACACTTGATTAGATTTCACATCATTCATCCACATCTGTAAAGTAACTAAAGGTATTAAATACATGTAGTGGGGTAAAAGTAAACCATTTACCTCTGACTTGTGTTTACTGCCAACCTAAAAGTACCTCAAAAATAGTATTGAAAAGTTATTTGGCTGATTGTTTTATATTGGCTCAGCCAGGTTATATGGGATGCCCAGTCTACGTACAGATGGGTCACTCATTTTGAAATATTAAACTTAGTTTTCTTTTCTAAAAATTTTAATTGTTCATCCTCATGTAGAATGCTATTATGAAACACACATTTGGTTGTTTATATTATAAAGAACATCAGATTTAATGTGAGGCAGGGAAATAATCATTTGAGTATAAGTATGTGTATATAAATATGTAATTTACAACAGCTGTAAGATGCTTGAAAAGCTTGAAAATGCACCTTGAAAATGCTTGAAAAGTGCTTGAATTTGACTTTGGAAAAGGTGTAAGAACCCTGTATATTGTGTGTACGTGTGTGAAAGAGAAACATAAAACAATGAAATGACCTCGCCACTGGTGGCCTTATTTTCCGTGTCCCCTCTGTGCCCGGGGACCAGAGCCAGGTTCATTTATTGACTGCTTGAGTATGTGTGTGAGAGTGTGTGTGTAGTACAGTACATTTAGCCTCAACTCCAGATCCTTGCTAAGGGACCCATGTCATTTAACTCGAGCTGACCTCCTGTGCCACCTTGACACACCACACACTCTGAAACACATATATAGTCACGCTAAACCATGTAATAAATGTGTAAATGCGCGGCCACCACACTCTGTTTCAACCAGGTAGATAGATAGATAGATAGATAGATAGATAGATAGATAGATAGATATTTCTTTCTTTCTCTTTCCATCACCCTTATCTCTTTCTCCACAGTCTGTCAGACACTTGACACTCTCACCGCCTCATTTAGCAGACGGCCAGCATGTGCGTCACCTTTCCCTGTGTCTCTGTTCATCACAGTAAACTTTAGTGGCAGGAAAGTACAGCATTGGTTCCTACAAATATTTTTTTGTTGCTGCATGTTATTATGATCACTCTTGGTGCTACAAAGCAACAGGCAGGCAAGAATGATTCTCTTTCAAAATGTATTTGCTATTCCAAATGAATAGTATATAACACCATCTTTTTAAAACAGGGTTGCAAAGGCATCAGTTTTTTTAAATTAGGGTACATTTGATCGTGAGAGCATCGAGGGCACTTTTTTTATTTGCTTTGAATTATACAATGATAGAAAGGCCTACGTTTTGATGACGTAAAAAAACACTGAAACTTATCTAATACTACATGTATAATGATTTACATTTTGAAACAACAATGCAGTAAGACTTGAGTCTGTTAACCATTGTTCCTCCATCTTTTTATCCACCAGTCTCTCCTTCCATCGTTCACAGTTCACATCCCTCCGTCTCTCATCCCTCTATCTCGTTAGTGTAATAACCAATTAACTCCGGCTTTTGGTTGCTTCAATTTCTTTATTTATTTCCTCATTAATTCATTTCCTGTTGAAAGCGCACTCCGATGTGATTGACAGCTCACGCTAATTGCACTCCAGACTGTGAGTGTGCACGAGATAGGTTCTCACACAAGCAAACGTACACACACACACACACACACACACACACACACACACACACACACACACACTCAAGGCTATGCACAATCTTGTTGACACACTTGTATGCAAACTAGCACACATTGAAAAATGCTTTCTAGCTGTGCACATACATTACATAAAAAAAACATCCATTGCTGCAAATACACACACACACCGCACTCACACACATAGAGGGATCAGTGTGATGCCTTTAATTAGATTTGGCCTATCAGCCTCCAACTCAGAGAGGGAGAGAAGGCAGATTACTGCTGCCCTCCATAATGACCTTCCAATACTTGATCTGAGATTATGGACGAGGCAGACGACTTCAAGGTTACTACACTATTCAGGGGACACATTAGACAAAAATGTCACAAATCTCATATAAAACCACCTTTAAAGTCCTTTGTTCATGTACAAATGAAAGGGGGTTGATTTTGCATCCTTACATGATTTCTTTTCTTCTTCAAAATAGAAAATCACATGTGAAAAAGTGTTTCAGATACATATTCACAGAATGATCCACATTATTTAAAACCAGCATCTCTATGATTTTCCATAGCTGTTAGAAGATGGATTTGAACACTTTATAAAACTCTGTTGAATAAGCTGTATGAAAAGATAAAGAACTCCCCAATCAGCTAAAGTCACTTTTCTGTGTACATGAGTGATTACAGGCTGGTTACAGGCACGCATCAGCATCACAACTGATTTTCAAAAGACTGGATTGAATCCATGACACACACACACCAAACATGCATACAGACTGAAACACACCCTCTGGCATTATCCTTATCATGTCCAGACTGATTCCTATGGTTACATACAGCTCATGGTTTATTCTTACCCCCAGCAATCTATAATTCATCACCTAATAGCATTTTACAAGCATAATTGAGTGAACTCTTTCGAACTTTTCAGCCTATAGCTATGGACTAAAAGGAAATATCCCCGACCATTTACCAAGTCTTTGCTCTTTATGTGCCTGACCTTTTTCAAGGGTATCCTATAAAGTTTTTCCTAATGCCTAGCTATTGGTTTTCTTTTATTTTGCCTCACAACAACAATGTAACACAACTACTGCAGTGTTAATGTTCACTGCTATGGATTAATCTTAATCTATTTTCAACTATCAAAACAAGTGTGCAGCCCTTTCTCTCTACACTCTTTTTGCCTTTCCCCTAATTTTCCATTTCCGCCCTGCAACCATCTTTAAAAAGGACCAAGCCATAAACTAATTTCCCCCATAATAAAGTACCTTTTTTACCTGACTCCATTACACTAATATGTTTCATAATAATAATTATAGTTAACGATGGTGTACTCGTGTGTGGTTTGGAATTAGTGCATGTACAATGTGTAGTTATATGTGCGAGTTGTGTGAGGGGGAGCTGAGTGTGTGTACAGCCATGTGTGTTTTCTATGTGTATTGTGAGCATCGCGGAGGCTTTCCCTGTGTGCCTGTAAAAAGCACGCTGGGAGAATAAAAAACGCTGAGTCTTTGATGCTAATATGAAGTGTCATATCTTCCCTCGCAGTGTGTGTGTGTGTGTGCGTTTGTTGTGTGTGTGGGTGTATACAGTATGTGCGCAGTGAGAACTTACGCAATTACAGTTCCCTTTTGCATTACCACGCTGACTAAAATGCTGATGGACGTACAGCCCTAAGCTGACACAAGCAATCACTCCGCCTGTGTGTGTGTGTGTGTGTGTGTGTGTGTGTGTGTGTGTGTGTGTGTGTGTGTGTGTGTGTGTGTGTGTGTGTGTGTGTGTGTGTGTGTGTGTGTGTGTGTGTGTGTGTGTGTGTGTGTGTGTGTGTGTGTGTGTGTGTGAGAAACAGGTACAGACACACACTAATTCTTGGCTTAATGTTTTGTGACTTAGAGTGCTGTGTTGTGGGCAGAGGTTGGACAGACACATTACTGGTGCACAAACACACACACTGTCTGAGAATAGTCAGTTCACACAGTGGTACTGAGGCTCAGAAGGCCACTAACTGTAAAAGGATTTTCATCATTTGAGTTCTGAAGGCAGAGCTGATCCGTACAGCAGGTCCTCGTCCACTCCTCCAGCCTGAGAGCCGGGAGAGATACCGTCTCCCACCCTGGGACATTAATCAGCTCATTACTGTTCTTTCTTTTAAACCACTGGAAGTAAAGCTCCCTCCCCCGTCTGCTACAACTATTACAAGCCTCTACTTAAACGGAAAATATGATCACAGCAGGGTGTCTATGACCACCAAGGCTCTTACTAATACTATATATATGTTTTCTACTGGTATATTACTTCTCTATCAAATCTGCTATTTTATATTGACCTTACAGTACCACTGTACCACAGTCTTCATATCATAGAGAAGTGATTGTAGCATAATAAAGCCTACATTTAACAGATTTTTCTGTATCAGATATGTCCTTGAACTTGAAAATAAGACAGATCCACTTATTAGCTTTTAACCATATGGATAAACCAAAAATCCGCTGATGAAGACAGAAGTGTGATTTGGTTGAAAGCTGCACAACAAACCTATCAGTAGAATTATGTGAAGATTGTACAGAAATGAAGAATTATATTTATTTAGTCACACAATCTCAGCATACACAATATATACTTTTCTTTTATTTTGTGAAATATGTAACTCTAATTTGTGTGAATCATTTTTCTTTTGTCAAGCAAGAAAAGTAATACAGAAAAGTGATCAAAATGTATGAAATGTCAAATCTCTTTGAAAGCATACAAACCTTTTAATATCAAGAATAGAGAATGGATACAAAGGTAGAGAGTGCAATAAAAACCAATACTGGAAGGATCGTGCTGCGTAGCCACAGGGGGTTTACATTGTTTTCTTCATGGCTCTATGTCGTTGCCATGACACTATCAGGATGTGCTAATAATGTTTGCAGTGATTTGCCTTTTTGGAAAGGGAGGCACTTTGGGATTTAAAGCCATGATCTCTGATGATATAGTATAAACACTACATCTTTTTCTTTTGTCTTTTTTCTTTTTTTTAATGAATCGTTTATTTAGCAGGGACAATGCACATTAATGAACACTTAAAACAAGAAAATGCAAATAGTGTAAATATGCCGGTCTGCCACATCCTCCAATCTATCTTCTAATCATTATTACCTTTCCCATCCTCCTGCTTAGCATCTCTTCAAACTTATGTATTTGACTCTATTTGTTTTTATGTACTGGTCTATTTAACTGTCATGAATTCCCCTCTCTCTGTCTTTCTGGCAGCCATCGGTATCCAGATGACTCTGGATGTGTTGGAGTCTAAATTCTGGGCCATTGCAGCACAGGTGAGGACATCACTTCATCACCATTTAATGAATCATCACACTTTAGATCTAAGCATTTGATATCAAAATAAGAATGTTGACACTGACAAAAACAACTTTATAAAGTACATCCAGCTAAGTTGTCAGCTATTAATAACGTTATGCTCTCAAAACATGTATTGGATCCATCTGAAAAACAAACCCATGAATCATGAACGTCAGGTTCCACTGTGCGTTGTTAAACCTTGTGATCAGAGCAGTATTGCTTTTTTTTCCATCGCAGATTTATAGCTGTTTGTTTTTACTTTTTTATGCCCACTATAAAACAAGTTCATTGCAGCACTACACTGGCACTAATGAGAGAGACTTGATGTATTTATGGTTTGCTGTTATATTGAACAGTGCTAGCGGAATAGAAACAACACAATCATGCTGTTTTATTTTGTAACTGGGGAATAACACTCCCCTTAAACCCAACTTCTGCTGTGTTGTCTGCGGTTAACTGAAAGTGTTAACATCTGTGCATCCATATCGACAGGCTTTGTGATTTGTCATGTTTACTATGTAAATACATTATAATTTATATTCTATAATTGAGCACATTTGAGTTATTACAATAACTATAAATGAGTCTCTAATAGGAGACGGCTCTGTTGATGGATACACTGTCTGCTTCAGGGGGTTTTACTCCTTTGGCCCCCGTCCTATATTCAGGAAAGTCCCTTTAGGCCACCAGGACATTCTGACATGATTTATTACTATATGAGAAGGAGTCAAGGATGATTATAGGTTATTTTTCTGCTCCATTAGTTGGTACTTAAAGCATTTCATCCTTTGTTTAATATAAGGCTTAATGCAGTGTTTTCCATATCTCTGCAACCAACTTTAAAAGAAGCACTTTCCCTGCCTTAATGGGGGCCCTATTCTGCAGCTCATTTTCATGTTCATATCAGTATGTAGTGTCTCTACTGGGACATGTCTCCATGCTTTAATGTTCTAAAAGCTCTTTATTGTTCTCATACTGCCTGTGCTGCAGCACCTCTTTTCACCCTCTGTCTGAAACCAGAGCCCAGTCTGCTCTGATTGGTTAGCTGGCTGGCTCTGTTGTGATTGGTCAACTGCTTGTAGATGTCCCGCCCCTTACCCTATCACGTACAATGTGTTGGAGAGCTAGCCAATATAAGTGCGAGTGTTACATAGTGATGTCATTATGAAACGGAAGTAAACAAAGGCTAAAGTGTTAGGCTTTGCAGTTCATTTACATGCACAAACACATACACTATATAGACAAAAGTATTGGGCCACCTACACATTACACCCACAGGAGCTTTTATGACATCCCATTCCAAATTATTAGGCACTAATATGAAGTTGGTCCCTCCTTTGCAGCTATAACAGCTTCCACTCTTCTGGGAAGGCTTTCTACAAGATTATGGAGTGTGAATTGTTGCCCATTCATCCAGAAGAGCATTTCTGAGGTCAGACACTTATGTTGGACGAGAGGGCCTGGCTCTCCGTTCTTGTTCATCCCAAAGGTGTCCAATGGGGTGGGGGTCAGGGCTCTGTGGGGGCCAGTCCAGTTCTTCCACACCAAACTCATCCAACCATGCCTTTTTGGACCTTGCTTTGTGCACTGGGGCACAGTCATGCTGGAACAGAAAAGGGCCTTCTTCCCCAAACTGTTTCCACAAAGTTGGAAGCATAGAATTGTCCAAAATGACTTGGTAAGATGAAGCATTAAGAATCCGCTTCACTGGAACTAAGGGGCCTAGGCCAACCCCAGAAAAACAACCATAGCATTATCCCTCCTCCACCAAACTCTACAGTTGGCACAATGCAGTCCGGCAGGTAACGTTCTCCTGGCATTCGCCAAACCCAGACTCGTCCATCAGAGGACAGATAGGGAAGTGTGATTGGTCACTCCACAGAACACGTTTCCACTGCTCCAGAGTCCAGTGGCATGCTTTACACCACTCCATCTGACGCTTGGCATTGTGCTTGATGATGTAAGGCTTGATGCAGCAGCTCGGCCATGAAAACCCATGAAGCTCCCACAGTTTGGTCTGATATTAATGCCAGAGCTGGTTTGGAACTCTGCAGTTATTGAGTCAGCAGAGCTTTGGCCACTTTTATGCACCTCAGCACTCTCCCCCCCCCCGCTCTGTAACTTTACGTGGTCTGCAATAATACCACTTACAGTTGATCGTGGAATATCTAGGAGAGAAGACATTTCACAAACTGTCTATATAGTGTATATAACACACTACAGGGAAGGGAAACCCCCAACATCCTCTTTAGATTTAAATGTCCTTATTAGAATTGTTACAGGTGATATTTATCTACTTCTTGGATATTTTCATCAGACTGGTTTCAGTGTAGGATCTTGGGTTCTTCAACACCTTCAAGAAACATTTTCTTGAGGACAAGTTGCTAAATTTGGCATAACACCTTTGCTGTAGCAGGTGTTTGATGTCTTGGCAGTTCCCCGGCTCTGCTCCAATGACTGTAAATGGCGGCAGTTAAAAGAGCATTAGGGCTTCTGGCCGGCCACTAAATGATGGATAGCCACCAAAGCTATGCTCAGAACGTGTGTGTGGAGGTGTGAAGGGGAGAGTATCGTATATGTGTCTGTTAATGTTAATGTGTGTCATGTTGACAAGGACCATATGCAAGACCATCTGTGCACAAGTGTGTTGTTGTGTCCACATTCATCTACCAGGAACTCATTAGCAGCATTAGCAGTGGCCTTGTTATCTACAAGATGTATGCTGTGGAGAAAGTCATTCCCACACTCATTTACTGTGTGCCCCTTTGTCTGTCTCCTCTCTTCCCTCAATTCTCAATATTCTATCCTCTTATATCCTGTTTTTCTTCTCAATTCTTCTCTATTTTCTTCTTTCCCTTAATGCTCCACCCCCTTTGTTCATCTCCTATAGTCCCTCCTTCTTCCTTCATCTCCTCAACCCTCAGCCCTCAGATATCTTACGTAATCATCTTATCTTCCTGACATGTATTCACCGTCACACATCTTTATTTCATAGGGGATTGTGTGTGCCTTCATTCACAGCCTGTGCTTGTCATGACTGTGTGTGTTCATGTGTGTGTACCCATGCATGTGTGTTTGTGTGAAACCCTCTCTCTGCTCTATTTTAAGTGTTAGGCTCCCTCGGGGGTGAACATGCTGCACCTACTGTAAAATCCTGAATGAAATACATATTCAGCAGGAAGTACAACAACTGGTTACATGGCAACAGAGTCATATACATTAAAGGACGTCTTCAAAACATGGTGTCCTGTTGTGGCTTATGACACTTACAGTATATTACTTGTAATCTTTGGGTCTTCACCCATGCTGCTCATGCATTTTGTAGCAGTAAAAGTGTCTCAACATTGTAATAATTATGTTTATTGTGTGAATATGTAAGAAATGACTAGTGCATTCATTAAGAAATATGGATTTATTTGCTTTAGTTAAGATTGCACAATGATATCGGCACTTGGTAGGGGCCTATAAAGGCTTAAGAAAATACATATTGGTATCTGAAAGAAATGAACATTTCTGAAAAATAAGATGACACTTTCAATTTCAGTTAATATAATAATAATTATATTTATATAATTATATAATGGAGTTTCAGGAAAACTCTGCAAAGCCATATGTACAAATTAAGAGTATTCATAATATAATGTTAATTATACTGCTGGAAATACTTGTTCTCTTCATTTAGGTGGGAAAAAAGCAAATATTGTTATTGGCATTGGTCATTTGCTAATTAATATAAGCATATCACATATCAGCAAAAAATCTAATCCAATGCATCCCTACTTTAATTACTAACTAAATCAAATTAGCTTCATCTTTATGTGTTTTAGAGAAATGATCATTGTAAGTAATGCAGGCATGTGTTCTCAGATCGCAGGGGAAGAGTTACATAAGTGAGGGAAATTACATCTGACCTTATACTGTAGCTACAGTATCAAGTTTGAGCAGCTTAAAATAAGATGTTATTAGGTCATACATAATGAATTAGTGGGGGTAAGTATAAGGCATTAGCTTCCATCTAATAGGAATCTGTCAGAATGTGAATAGAAAAATGTTCTGATGGCTCTGTACAGCACACTGCTGGGTATACTGTGTGTGTGTGTGTGTGTGTGTGTGTGTGTGTGTGTGTGTGTGTGTGTGTGTGTGTGTGTGTGTGTGTGTGTGTGTGTGTGTGTGTGTGTGTGTGTGTGTGTGTGTGTGTGTGTGTGTGTGTGTGTGTGTGTGTGTGTGTGTGTGCGCGCGTCTTCTGCCATGGTGTTTCAAAGTTGCAAATGTTTTGTAAATGTCAATATAAGAACAAGTAGAAATACAAAGGAGTAAAAAATAATTGCCTTACAACACTGAATGTTCCTCCCTTTGTTATATCTGCCATTTCTTACAGATACATCACATTAAAATGTACAGTGTGAATAGCACGGAGCAAGGATCCATCTCTTACAGTCCATTGCTGTTATATTATGTCTGACAGCGGGCGGAGACGCAGTGAGGGGCTGTGAGGTGAAAGTAATGAGAATAAAAAATGATAGATTTTTTGCCATTCGCATCTTGGCATGCTCTTTATCTCGTGGACAAGACTCAGCTGCTCTTCCTATCTCTATAGCCCCACATTTGCTACTACAATACTGTTTCTGTGATGCGTGATAACAGCACAGCAGTGTTTCAAATAAGTTATGAAGGTATATGTGTAATTAGTGCAATCCCAGACACATCTTTTGCAAACAAGATAAAAATGTTTTATGTATACTTAGAAATGGAGCAGCTTGTAAGTAAACAGTATATTTATGCATCAGGCTTCATAGCATAGCCAAGCTCAGTTTATAACGCCATGGTTATAATACTGAAGTGTGTTGCTTACTTTGAATTCAAGTGTGTGTTGCTGGAGCAGAGAGCGGTATCATCAACTGCGGTGAGAACGAGTTTCAGAGAGTAAGAGTGATAATTGATGCTCTCACTTTCACCTTGACTCCTCCTGGAGCTCTCAGATGAGACACATTTACCAACCAGGGAAACAGCCTCTTCCATGCTGCCCAGATTTAGAAAGCTGTGGTGTGAAACGTTAGGAGGCTGAGAGAGACATGGCCGCTCACGGAGTGGATAACGTACATCAGAACAAAGAGAGGGTCCGAGGCAGTTAGCCAAGTTGAACAAATTGGCAGTTTTCTGTATTTTCATTTATGTGTAGAGTGACTGCGGATGGTGAAGACAGTTAGTATGTCTTCTTCAAGTCTTGTGATTACCTGACTGTTTCTCTAGCGCAACCATAAGGACAACACTCTTTTGTACACCAAAAATATCCTAATGTAATGTCATTTTCCATACATTTCATGTGCACATTCATGGCCCCCTGAGGATTTCACACATCCGACACAACAAATTAAAAATAGCAATCATGCACTCAGAAATGAATGATATAATAATGGGCCGATTATCTGTGTATTTTTTCAACAAATGTACAATTAACCAGTGCCACCAGTCAGGATAACATTTCAATTTGTGGTCTCATTTTTGACTAAAGCTACAGGACTATACAATCTCAAGTACACTGAAAAATTGAAACGTTCACTTTAAGTAAGTGTATTATGTCAATAAATATCACATAACTGTATAAGGTTAGTTGAAAGCAATAATATATTTTTAATTTAAACTTAATATTATTACTTTAAACTAACCTAATACAGTGAAATCTGTTGACATAATACATTTAATGAAAGTCAACGTTTCAGCTTGTTCAATGTATGTGCTTCTTAAGTCCAATACACATTGTATCCTACAGGTTTCAGCAGAACGTCTTAAGACTTTATTTGGTTACGTAATTAGCAGGAACAGATGATATAGTTTCCTATAAATTGTGTCGCTCATCATGCCATGCTATGTACCAACAGCATGTGGGGAAGGATCATCCTCTCTGTCAGTCCCCTCACTGAGTTGCAGTTTATTTCAGGAGGCAGCGATGGGAAGCAGAGAGAAAGAATGACACTTTGCTGTAATGGGATTGAAAAGGATGATAGATTGTCTCATTCGCAACTTCGACACGCTCTATATAGCCTGACCATGATTCTAAAGACACATTGTCCACAGACGCCAGTCCACAGACACTGTGGACATAAGATGACCATAAAGTCATGAGGAGAACTATTGAACTATGACCCTTCCAGTGAAGAAGGAAAGTGTTAGTAAGCTAAGTTTACAGAGAGTGTTGATGCACACTTGCAACGGCTGATATATAGTAAACAAACCCTTTTTAGTGACACACACCTAACTGCACGTTACTTTATGTGTTACATTTCTGCTTGAGAATGTGTAAATATTGTAAATAAATCTTCACTCATTTTCAATTATAACAACAAAAAAAAGGCTTTCTTTTGTCTTTTCCTAAAAAGCCTATGCTCAGTCTGAGATAATGCAACAGAATGAGACAGTCTAGTCAATGCAGCGGCTCACACATCATTAACTGAAGTAATGTTTCTCTCTTTCTTCTTCATGTTCTCTTCTTATCTCTCTTTGTTCCTCTCTTGGTGTCTTCTCAGCCAAATGACACAGATGTAAGTATCCATAAGTTCCCCTCATTTATCAAAACATCACTTTACTTTTTGCACAGAGCCAAATTTAACATCTACAGCGCCTGCTTAGCTCTGTGAAGAATACACACACACACACACACACACACACACACACACACACACACACACAGACATTCAGAGATGTAGAAAAACACAAATCAGACACACAAGAGCCAATCACAGGTAGACAGTATCACACACAAATGAACACCTTCTCACCAACAGCGACAGGTAGTACAAATGCACTTGTCGACACGGACACATGTTCACGCATAACACGTCCACAGACAGACCCAAAATGTGTTCAATCATGTTTTCACGTACACAACTATCATCAACACAAACACAAACTACACTTTTACATCTTCCACCTATATTTAAATTGCTTTGTTAGTGTTGAAACAGTTTCACTTGTCTGTCCTCCAGTGCTCTGACGTAGATGGGATTTGTCCTCTTCGGTGTGACAGCGTTGTGAGTATAACTGTCTGATATTAAGTCATTATGAATTAAAGATAAAAAGGAATGAACCATATCATGTCTTTGTATTCAAACTCTAAAAGGTTGTCACATGTAGCTTTAACTTCATAAAGTAAATGATATTACTATTTTGCCTGTTGTCATCTTGTTATGTTTGACACAGATCTTTTTTCATATCAATAATTGCTCTCTGTTTTTTTTGTCATCGCAGGATATTGCATGCTACATGATTGACAATAATGGCTTTGTCCTAATTTCTAAACAGCGCAATGATGTGAGTACACACACACACACACACACACACACACACACAAATTGTGCTTTCTAATCTTTGACTTTACTTTTTGTGTGCTCTTACTCCTGTCAACTTTTCAATTTCTTAACAAGTAACAAAACACATTTTGAATACCCAAAACAGTCTACATATTACCTAGACACACATTGTTATTGTTAATTAGGTTTAGAACTACTTCCATGACCTTTTGTTTTCATATTAGCATTTTCAAATGTCAGACTTTTCCCACAGTAATCATCAACAGTACGTGCAAGCAGGAGTAATTATTCAATACTCATGACACACAATAATTGTATAATTAGCACAGCACTACAGAGGCTTTAAATTAATCAACATAACAAAATAAGCAAAGCAGAAAATCATTTTACTGTAGCAGTTATAGTTTGAAGTGAGTTTTTGACCTCTTTTTATTCCTCTCTGTCAACACACAACATAACATGGTTGGATGAATAATTGATCATACAGTTCACATTGTGATCATGACGTGAATGTATTATGTTAAGCCACACAGATGATTCCACGCAGTGATTTTCCCTTCTCTTTTCTTGTAGGCGGGTAGATTTTTTGGCGAGATTGACGGATCAGTAATGACAACACTAATCAGAATGGGCATGTTCAAAAGGTAATGTCTGGTTCTCATTGCCTGTCTGTTTTGTGTGTGTGTGTATATGCTTCTCTGTTTGGTTATTTTGTAATTCAAATGTGGCTCATAAATATGATTACATGTAACCCTTGATCTGTAATACACACATAAGTGGTTGCTGCTGGGTCTTGAACGTAAGGGTTGTTGCAAATGTCTATTTATTTGTTCTTACAGACCTAAGACATGCATTAGTATGCTTAGAAACCAATAGCCTGGAGGGTGTGCTTTGCTGTCATTATAGAGACTCAAAGGCTCTGTTTTTATTGCTATACAGTCTCTGCCCTGTGTTGCACTCTTACGTGCCGAGGGTAGCTGATCCACCCATCTTTGTAAACACAGTCCTCTGTAGATGTCTCAGCTTTTCCCCTTTTCCCCCCTCTGAGCTTCTGTGACTGCCCTGGATTATTTTCCCTTTTACTTTTGCCCGTCATCTATGTTTGAAGTCTCATGAGTGATGTGCTATTTTTATACAGCTAAAGGATTTTTTCAAGTTTCATTTGACACAAGATATTACATAACTGGTTTTGAGCATGCATGAACTTCAGTGGCTGTGCACTCATACTTACTGTATACTGTACGTGCATGCATCTGCAAGGTGTCTGTCTTCTTCTGCCTCTACCTACATAGTACAGTATATATACAGTATATACACAATGTAGAAACACAAGAAAGTCAAAACGCTGGGTCAATCCTCTGTAAAAAAGCCAGTAATTATAACTCTGAGATGATTTTCTCTCCGTTTTTTTCTTCTCTAAGTTTAGGGTTTCTAGAGAGATTAAGCTGAGCTATACAGCGCTGTGTGTAGTAGTCTGCAGAGGGTAGAGGAGTCGATGTAAGTCAGTGAAATACTACCTGAAGAGCAACACCATGGCCTCAAAGAACAGGCTATATGGATTAGGATGGCCTCCACTGGGAGATAATGAGGTGTGTGTGTGTGTGTGTGTGTGTGTGTGTGTGTGTGTGTGTGTGTGTGTGTGTGTGTGTGTGTGTGTGTGTGTGTGTGTGTGTGTGTGTGTGTGTGTGTGTGTGTGTGTGTGTGGTGTGTGTGTGTGTGTGTGTGTGTGTGTGTGTGTGTGTGTGTGTGTGTGTGTGTGTGTGTGTGTGTGTGTGTGTGTGTGTGTGTGTGTGTGTGTGTGTGTGTGTGTGTGTGTGTGTGTGTGTGTGTGTGTGTGTGTGTGTGTGTGTGTGTGTTTCTACAGGGTGTCCTTGTTCGACTACCAGGCCATGTGTAAGATGAACTCGCACTCTGTCAGCAGCGCCCGTCCACTTCTCAGTGTAAGCACAGTGTACTCAATCTGTATACCATAATATTAATACTAACATTACAGTCCAATCAATTCTGAAGTAACGCTCATCTGTTTATCTCTTCAGCCGTTTTATGGTTTGGCTTCAGCCCTCAAGTGGTTCCTCTCCAACTTCCTACTGTAAGTGTTGCTAGGGGCAACCACAATGTCAGTTTATCCAAAACAAAAGTGAATTTTGTAAAAATGTGCTATTATGTATCACTATTCACTAAGTTTTGCATATTTGTAAAAGCAGTGGATTTTTTATTTCATGGTTGAAAATACAACATTATAATAGGAATGGTTTGATATTTAGAGAACAATGCACATTATCAATTTTCTTGCCAAGAATTAGATAAAAGATCAATAACACTTTCATGTCTGTGTGATCAAAATGAAGCTACGTCTAAAATTGAAAGCATAAAGCCTGCGAACAGAAGGAAACAGCTGGCTCGGCTTTGTCCCAACCTTATAAAATCTGTCTACCAGCATCTCATGCTTAGTTAATGACATATGATATCTTGTTTGGGTAATCTGCTATAAAACCGTATAGCAAAAACAACAGTTTGCTGTTTTACAGGGAAGTTATATGCTGGAATAAACATTTCAGTTGTCACTACTTAGTAAGGCTCCTCCAGTTATCCAGAACGGCTACCAATGCTACTAATTACTGCTGATTCATCTGAGGAATCACTTTAATATTCCCATGGTACAACTTTGGGGCCTGGCCCAGATTTTGAAGTCAGAATGCAATCTGCTTGCAATCTGCTTTGGTCCATAACGAAGGCCGCCTAATTGATCTCTGTCCACTCTCCTCTTCTGTCTTCCTCATAAGGTTTCTCCTGGAGTTTAATTTCTGTGGCTTTTGGCACACGGAGCATTTTGCTGACGGTGAGTTCTACAAGAAAAGTGTTGCCAGTTAAGGTCAAACTCTATCTTTGTGATAAATGTCTCTTAAAATGTCCTTTTTGCATGTATATTTTGTAGATCATCAAACCTTAAGAGCAGACCTAGATTACTGCAATATGACCTTATTATCAACTGCTTTAGAGAATATACACACATCTACATGGAATGCAAATCAATTCTTAAGTGATTATTAAATCTTATTTAAATATTAATGTGAATGTCTGGGCTAATAAAACTCACCATCGCTCATTCTCATCAACCAGTCATGGCGAACATGTAGGAGAAATGTCCCGTGTCATTGTGCTGTATGTTGTGTCAATCAATACCAGCAGTGGAAACATTAATCCCCAATCTAGAAATCATTATGGAGTCATCTGATCCCCTCACCTCTCATCTGTCTCTGTCTTCCCATCGATCATACTGCTCATTACTACACCTGTCAATCATCCACTCTTCCTCCAACTCGATATCATCATCATCATCATCATCATCATCATCATCATCATCATCATCATCCCTCCCTCCACTCAGCCAAGGCATCTTTCAGCGTGTGTGAGTATATGTCTCAAAGGGTTTTTTAGGACAATCGTTTCTGTAAAAAAAAAAAATCCGAAATGTTGTATGTGGTGTAATGTTAGTAGTAATCTTCAAACAGATTAAATGCAGTCTCTCTGAAAGAGGTGGGAGAAGTACTCAGATCTTGTACTGAAGTAAAAGTAGTGCAGGAATACTCTGTTACAAGTAAAAGTCCTTTTTTCAAAATGTTACTCAAGTAAAAGTACAAAAGTATTAGCATCAAAATATACTTAAAGTACCAAAAGTAAAAGTAGTCATTGTGCAGATTGGTCCATTTCAGAATAATATATATGATATGTTTTATAATGATTGATCATGAAAGTGTTCTCAAAGCTGGTAAAGGTGCAGCTAGTTTGAAGGACTTTGTATACTGCAGGGTAGCTTGTGAATTTACTCCAGGTGGAACTAAAGTCTGATTTAAGACTTGATTCACATCACATCATTCATCCACATCTGTAAAGTAACTAAATGTATTACATAAATGTAGTGGAGTAAAAGTACACTATTTACCTCCTACTGTAGTGGAGTAGAATTACAAAAGTGCAAAAGACTACTACTTGGATGTACTTAGTTACTTAACACCACTGCTCTCTAATTACATAACTAATTCTCCACAACAAGACCTAAGCAGACTGTTAAAACTGAAACAAATGTAATTCTGAGGAAGTCATACAGAAGACATGAAGATCTCAAAACACCATTATAGCTCTTCCTTATGGTTTTCAAACCCATCATTTTACCTGCACACATCGAACAGAGGTACATGGTACAAAGAGCAATAAATGGCTGAAGACATCCTCCTGTCACAGTCTATCAGCCTTCCAGTCATCAACACAATGTCACACACACACTTTTACATCCAACCTTGACACATGACCCATATCTATTTCTGTAATAGCCTCGGCTCATAAGAAAAGAGGGGACATTCTTCAGCCGTGTGACACCGAGTACCCCAGCTTTGTCTACGAGCCGTCAGTCAAAGAGACCAACAGCATCATTAAGTGTGGACGCTGCCAGAAGTAAGCACACACACTCATGCACACTTATAGCACACACAAATCTGCACACACACCGTAGACCAGTCATATTAAATTGTCCGCCTAAAATCCATTTTCTATGGCTTTTCTGTGTTCTGCATACTAAGAGCAGGGAGTGTGAGGAAGAGGGGGAATAAGTAGAAAGGAAAGGAATTAGATCTGGGTACATGTGGTTTCAGAAAGACCGAGAAGTATACGGGGGGCGAGGGAGAGGGACTGGAAAACTGAAATTAATAAGAGGTAAATGAAAAAAACAGAGGGATGGGGGAGAGTGGGTGACAGAAACAGAGATGGAAAACAGTGGGAGGCAAGAGCAGGGGGGAAGAGGTGTGTGTGTGTGTGTGTGTGTGTGTGTGTGTGTGTGTGTGTGTGTGTGTGTGTGTGTGTGTGTGTGTGTGTGTGTGTGTGTGTGTGTGTGTGTGTGTGTGTGTGTGTGTGTGTGTGTGTGTGTGTGTGTGTGTGTGTGTGTGTGTGTGTGTGTGTGTGTGTGTGTGTGTGTGTGTGTGTGTGTGTGTGTGTGTGTGTGTGAAAAGAAGGAAACGGGGAGAGAAACACTGTTCACTGCAATATGTCTGCAGGTTTGTGATCATAGGTTGAGTGTGATCGCCCTCATGAGGCTAAAAAAGGTATAACACAGCCCTTTAAATGCTAAAGGACACGGTTACAGACTTTAGAGACTTTTAAATGCAGTCAAGTACATTTGCAACCATATTTGCTTTAGTATTTCTGTAGGAACCAAATTTGGATAATAATTTAATAAATACAAAAATATATCATTTTGTATCACTGTTACAATTATTGTGGGTATTGTATCTGCCTGGCTCAGCGACCTCTTCTTGACAAGGTGTTAATTTCATACAATACAAGAGAGGTTTGCTTTTTGTGCACATGTTAACACGTTTTATATCATGTGATTGTGTGTGTCAGGATGTTTGTGGTGCAACAGATACCAGACAGCAACCTGTTGATGCTGGTGGTGCAGGCGGACTGTGACTGCTCCAAACAGTACCCACCCATCACCATGGAGCCCAAGGAAGTCAAATATATCCTTTGATTTGTTGCTATTCATGGAGTATGCTGCTAGTGCTGCCCTTTGTCTTCCTATTTCTCCCAAATGAATTCCATTTGTAATGCAGTCCCTGTTGCTCTGGAGAGGGCGAGATGACAACAAACAGGAATCTCTAATGTTGTAACTAATCCAGGATCTTTAAGCTCCCACACAGTGATCATTTTATTTGTTTTCCATAATCTCCCCTTGCACCAAACTTTAATTCTGGAAATTGTGTATGCCTGCTGTGGTACATATATAGAATTGTTTTTTACTAGATTAATATAAAAAAAGAGGTTTCTCTGAATCTAGTCTTTAGGGCGGTGGCTCAGTGCCAAGAAAGTACTTTCCGTGGAGAATCCTTTTGTGTTGCTGCTGTTGCTCCTTGACTCCACTGCACATAATGCCTCAGTGAAGTGTGACAGGATGAGGTCCCAGAAGATCCGCCGCCGCCCCGAGTCCTGCCACGCCTACCACCCCCAGGTCAGCTTCTCATTGGTCCATACGTTCATTGTGTCATAACCTCCTCATAATGTTTTACTGCAATATCTTCTGTGCATCAAACACATTTCTAATTAGGAGAGTGCCTTTTTGTTTTTTGTCCTGGCGTCTGTATATCTGCTATTTGATTTTGCTTGATTGCATTGAAACTGGTTTGGAATGGCTTTAGTCTTGGCAGGGACACAAAGTGAAATCACGTTCTGTTTGTTTCTGCAGGAGAACGCCAATGACTGTGGAGGAGCTTCTGTTATATCTCTCTCTGCATCTCTCTTCCTCGCCTGCCTCTCCTTCTCCACACGTGTCTCCTGATGATGGACAACTTTGCTGTTTCAACTCAATTTCTCATATAAACGAGGAGATTGGAATGAATCAGGATCAGTGTTTGGACACTGGACACATCAAGTGGGTTAAAAAAAAAAAAACGTTCTACCCATGACGACCACAATAGTCTCTACTGACGGACCTTTGATGTGTTTTTTTAAGCATTTATTGGTTAACTCATGGAAAGTATACATCTGAACTGAAAACTGCAACAAAAAAAAGCAAGTTATAGGCCGTTGTTGCCGTGGATACTTTTCCATTAGTTGCTTTCTCATACACCATGTTGCATCTCAAAATGAAAGAGGGACTAAAGAGATGCAGGTGGCAGCTATGACCTGAATTGATAAAAGAGGATTACGAGTCACATGATGCAACAGAAGAAAGTCCAGGGGGGAATATATTAATCATTTTTCATATTCCACTGAACTGAATATTGCAGTACATGCATATTATATATGCAGCTGCAAGCATGTGCAACTGGAGAACTTTATCCCCTGAAAGCTTCATATTCTGACTATGTTTTAAACATTGAATGAGAGACAGGAGAGAAGGGCTACAGCCATATGTGGAAAACATTGTTGTTTAACATCAGTGTTGCTGCTGAAAGTCAGATTAGAGGAGGGTGTTTACAGTATAGGTTTCTCTAAATCTAATCTCAAAGGGCGATGGTTCAGTGCCAAGAAAGTACCTGCAGTGGAGTTGATAAAAATTATCAAAAAGTATGGGACGTCACTTCACTATCTTGTTTGTTTTTTTAAACTTGGATTACATCCAAAAAAATGTTTCTGTGACATATCTTTGGAAAAAAATGTCCTTGCCTTTATGTTTTTATCAGCTGTGTCTTTCTGTTTGTTTGTAATTATGTTTGGCTGGAGACCACTGTGGAACTCACAGGATGTAGATCTACAATCAAAAAGGATAACAAAAAGATGGATTGTTTTTTAGATAAATACATGCAATGAAATGGATTCAAGGCAAAACTGGAAGGAAGATGCAGTTGTACCAGAGCATCAGTGTTTCCTTTTTTTATGCTGTTGACTATGCATTTACTGGACTGGGTTTTTTCAGATGCTTTACCTGTGTCCCAAGGTCATGCATTTGCTTCTAAGCCCTTGGACTATACAACAATATAATTGTATAACTTCATGATTAAATAAAAAATGCTCTCAGTTTGGGAAACAAGTTTATATTATGAACAAATTAAAATGTGAAATGTTCATATGAGTAATCGCAATGTACATTAACAGGGTGCATTTCTTTGCATTGGGTATTTTTGTATTTGCTTGTGTTTCATATTCTGAACTTCAGCATTTCATTGTGTTTTGGGCTGTGAGTGTCCCTGTAGCATTTTCTATGGTATTTCTGAATCATCTTACGAAGCATGTCTTTAAGTTGAGCTTACTCTGATGACAAAATTGCCTGAGAATTTGCCTGTTTGTGAAAAGGCTCTGATACATATTGTGTGTGAATGTGCAGCATTGCAATGTTGCGTCTCGCTGAGATTTTATGAGTATTTTTTTCATGTGTCTCATTTTTGTTTGGAATTTTACTATACCGTATTCTATATTGTATGGTTGACATGTGTACAAGTTGTGTGTTGACTGAAGTCATGATTTGAACCAAGTAAAATAAATTATCCATGTTTTTCTATCGTATTTGTCACCAGTTTGTTGTTGTTTTTTGCTTGTCAGTGACTAATGACCCTAACATAATACAGATGCTAACAATACCAGACTAAAACAATCAGTACTTTACCAATACTCAAAGGGGTTATATCATACATATATTATATTGAAGTTGAATATCTAGAGTGGCGATGTGAGCTCTTGTAATCAAATCAGCTTTCATATTGCACTAGCAACATGAATAATCCAAAGGTTTGAAATCATATCTGCAACTACACAATACTGTCTTGAGACACGGTTGCTGTGTAATGCTTTTCAAAAAAAGAGTATAGGAAGTGTGATGGTTGTCAATCTGAGCTTGTCTCGGAATCTTAATCCAGTATTACTTCATGTTTTGATTTAATATACTAGATGATAATGCTGAATATTACAAACGACTAATAGTCAGTAGCATCCTCCAGTACTGGTTCAAGCATGTAAAAAGTATACAAAAAAAATATTTGTTAGAAATAGTTTATAAATAGTTGGCGATGATTAAAACATATCTATTGTCAAGTCAAAATGTAGATATAAATTAAACATATAACATTTTATGTATACATTTTTACAAAAGACACTTTTTGTCCTAGGCAACTAACAATGCAATTGTACTTATAAATCACATTATTTGTCTGATTGGGCTTTACAAGCTTTACATCGTACGAGGAAAATCTCCCCAAAGAAGCCCAACAATTTAAGGGAAACATAAAAGAAACCTAAGGGTTGGCAACACATAAATCCCTCAGATTCAAAGAAGTCCATCAAAGATTCAAATTTGAAGTTTTTACTTTAAAACGAGAAGAATAGTTGATCTGGTCTTTTTTGACAGGCAAGTCAGCCTCTACCTTAGGGTATAATGACTAGATAAACAGGGTTTGGAGGGTAACTTATACTACTAAAAGAAGTAACCACAAAGCGATATTTAACTGAAAATACTAGGGAAATGTTTACTCATAATTTCTCATCCACACTTGCCCCTGCTAACATCTCAGTAAATGAGCTATAGATCATTTTAATTCAAAAATTAAAAATGTTATAGATACCATTGCTCCAACTAAGGTAAAGGAAGTGATTGGCAAGAAAATATCTCCATGGAGAAAGGCCATGACCGTGAGAACAGAAAAAAGAGAGTGTCGAAAAGCTGAACGTAGGTGGCGAAAAACAAATCTCCAGGTTCACTTTGAAATCTATAAAGAGAGACTTGGCCTTTATAATTTGGAATTGAAAAACGCACGACAGTCTTTCTTCTCTGACATCATTACCAAAAACAAAAACAACGCACGTGCCTTGTTTGCTACCGTCAACAGACTAATTAACCCCCCAGTGTCAGTAGCCTCTGAATTTCTATCCACCAGGGCATGCAATGATTTTGCCTCCTTCTTCACTGACAAAATTCAGAAAATTAGACAAGCAGTCAGTGCCTCTGCATCAGGTACAGCAAATGTGTTGTCCCTGTGTCCACCTAATATCAATTCAAACACCATGACACAATTCTATCAGATTAATGGTAAAAACTTAGAGGACATTATTCAACTTCTGAAATCCTCCTCCTGCTGCCTTGATATTATTCCAACAGGATTTTTTTCAAAGATGTTTTTCATTGCATGGCCTCAGATCTACTTCATATAGTAAACACATCTCTTCACTCAGGTATTTTTCCACAGGCACTGAAAACTGCAGTCATTAAACCGCTCTTAAAAAAGAATAATCTAGATGCTTCAGTAATGAACAATTACAGGCTGCAAACCTGCCATTTCTAGGTAAAATCATTGAAAAAGTTGTATTTCAACAGTTGAGTAACTTCTTGCATTTAAATAACTGTTTGCATGTGTTCCAGTCAGGATTTCGTCCAAACCACAGCACTGAGACTGCTCTTGTAAAGGTCTTCAATGACATCCACTTAAACACAGACAGTGGCAGAACTTCAGTGTTAGTATTATTAGATCTCAGTGCTGCGTTTGATACTGTTGACCACAACATATTACTAGACCGACTCGAAAACTGGGTGGGACTTTCGGAAACAGTTCTAAATTGGTTTGAGTCCTACTTAAAGGACAGAAAAAACTTTGTTTCTATAGGTAAATACACATCTGAGTTGACAAATATGACATGTGGGTTACCTCAAGGCTCCATCTTGGGGCCTCTTCTCTTTAACATCTACATGCTACCACTGGCTCAGATAATGAAAAACAACAAAATAAGTTACCATAGCTATGCGGATGACACACAAATTTACGTAACAATTTCACCAGGAGACTATGCTCCAATTCAAACACTGAGTAAGTGCATTGAACAAATCAATGACTGGATGTGTCAGAACTTTCTCCAATTAAACAAAGATAAAACTGAGGTAATGGTTTTTGGAGCCAAGGCAGAACGTATAAAAGTTAGCGCTGAGCTTCAGTCTGCAATGTTCAAAACAACAGATAAAGCCAGAAATCTAGGTGTAGTCATGGACTCTGACCTGAGTTTCAACAGTCACATTAAAACAGTTACTAAATCAGCCTACTATCACCTAAAGAACATATCTAGGATTAAAAGACTAATGTCACAGCAGGATTTGGAAAAACTTGTCCATGCTTTTATCTTCAGTAGACTGGACTACTGTAATGGTGTCTTTACAGGTCTCACTAAAAAATCTATTAGAAAGCTGCAGCTAATTCAGAACGCCGCTGCTCGAGTCCTCACTAACACTAAGAAAGTGGATCACATCACTCCTGTTCTGAAGTCCTTACACTGGCTTCCTGTGTGTCAAAGAATAGATTTCAAAATATTGTTGCTGGTTTATAAAGCTTTGAATGATTTAGGCCCAAAATACATGTCTGATCTACTGCTAAATTATGAACCATCCAGAACTCTCAGGTCTTCAGGGACTGGTCAGCTTTCTGTCCCCAGAGTCAGAACTAAACATGGTAAAGCAGCGTTCAGTTATTATGCTCCAAATATCTGGAACAAACTCCCAGAAACCTGCAGGTCCGCTGCAACTCTTACTACTTTTAAATCCAGGCTGAAGACTTTTCTTTTTGCCGTTGCTTTTAATTGAACTATTCACATCTTGAACTGCACTGTAACTTTTATCCATGTATTTTTTCTTTTAATGTTTATTTTATTATCTTTTATTTTTAATGACTGATTTTAAATGCCATTTTCTTGATGTCTTCCATTTTTGTAAAGCACTTTGAATTGCCTTGTGTTGAAAGGTGCTATATAAATAAACTTGCATTGCCTTGCCTTGCCTTGCCTTACTAGTTACAGTAATCTCAGTATCAAAATAAAAAAGTAAAGTGACCTGAAAACTCTCCCCTACTTTTGGATTACCTCAATATCAAATGCAATGCAAATAACTAAAAGAGAAAAATAAATATCAATAAGATGTTATTTACTATGTTTATAACAATGTAACCATAGGAAAGAAGAAAGCAACATATTTCATATAACAAATGTAGTAAGTAACAGTTATAGTTTACAAATGCTGTTTAAACTTAATACATTAATCAAAAGCCAACTATATTTGAGTTGAATAAATCAGGGGTCCACCTACTGCATTAAAAAATAAAGGTGTTTAAAAATTAAAGCAGCCTGAATATAAAACGGAACATTCATTCAATACGCCTACCTATAACATATCGATCCAAATGTATTGTAATACTGTAATCCTTCAAGTCATCTCTATTTTTACTTTTTTTTTTTCATTGTAATAGAATAAAGTTACCTTTTTTGTATCCTGATTATGTAATCTCGTAACATGTAATCCGTTATTCCCCAAGCCTGTGTAGATAAAGCACTTCCCCACACTGGTGTTATCGCGTTTATATCATGTTTTTTTTTCTCAGCAGGGCTGTAGTTAGTGCAGGGGGCCAGCAGGGGCGCTAGTGGTCCCTCTCCGGCTCATTGTTTGGGTCTCAGTGTAGCTCTGCTCTGCCGGCAGAGCGAGCGACGGGTTGGAGGAAAATGGCGGACGGTGTGGATCACATCGATATCTACGCCGACGTAGAGGAGGAATTCAACCAGGTATTGAACGCGCATTGAGCACACTTCATTTTACGGTTAATTTTTCTGTATTTGTGTGTGATATTTCGTGCTTAGTCTGTTTGGGAAATGGTGTGTTCTGCTGGGTAGAGTTTCCCTCGCATACAGGCCCCCCCTCCACCATGCTGCAAGCCCGCATAATCAGATACTATTACCGCCGAGAAATGTGGAATTTGCGCTGTTGACGACATTTACCACCACGCGTGAAGCATAAAGAAAAGTACATGAAATGTGCAAATATATTGTATTTCTTCGGCTGAAGGCTAAAATCATCCTCTATCATTGTTCACAGTGTCGGGCCTCGGAATGGCTGCCTGTGGCGCGCTAGTTACGATAGCTAGCAGGCGATAGCTTTCTAACAATAATTATGTTTGGCACGTTACTTTGTGGCTCCCTTTGTGTTTTCTCAGTTCATACTAGCACATTTTAGGTTGAACCTTAATTGTTACTAGGCATTACATGTAATTTGAAAAGCATTTTATGAGACGTAACATTATGGAGTGTTAGTTTTATACTCTTAGCTTAGTGTAGCCTTAGCATCTCTGTGTCCATTGGCTGGATATGTTGTGGTCTACTCCTAACACGCCCCTTTCCTGTACACCAGAACCCAGGGGGCAATTTGTTGTTTGTTGGCCCCTTAGAGACAACTTAATCTCCTGCAAAATCTTCCCTCCATAGTGTAGGTTAATGTTGACTTGTTTGTATAAGAGATGCCCTGAGCTGTTCATGTTTACATTTGCGGAAGTCACTTTTCTGTTCAATCGTTAAACATTAGGTCAACCAGGTTGGTGCATTAGAGTTAACGTCACTTAACAGTCTTACTTCATACTGATACTCAAAGACGGAAAAGTTCACAAAGTTAGTCAAAGCATCAGTCTGAAGATTACTTATTCTATCTTGGCATGACCTCCTTAATTATTATGTCTACAAGTCCCAATCTATTTTGAGAGCATCTGCAAAACTGAAGACATTTACACAGCCACTGCTCTCCTATAACCTGTTCTACTTGTGTTCAGTTAAAAATAAACTGCACGTTGTTGTTTTCATTGTTATATGGTCACATGAATAAAAAAAGACTGAGGCGTGTTCCACATACTCCGATATAGTTTAGTGTTCAACATTAACAGCTATAAGAGGCTTAAAAAAAGATTAACTAAACTTGTTGACAGTACACAAGAGTCCTACCAGCTCTAATGGTAACAAGTTAACACACTACATTTGTTAGCATGCACACTAATACTCTGAAAATGATAATATTCCTAATTTAATATTGTTAATTTAAAACCTCTTATGGCCAGCTCTGTGCATGGTATACAAACCAACTAACTAAATGTTTGATCGGCTGGGGTAAAGATGCCTGCTTAAAAGAAATGCCTGCATTTTGGTTCAGAGTGAGAAACAAACTACCTTTCAAACATTTTTGAAAGACTTGGATATTGGAGGATACTGTCACACCACAGTCGGAAATATCCACCAACGGTGAAAAGTAGCATCTTATTTAGAGTATGCATGGCTCCATGTTAACAGCTAAGGAGGGATATTGTCTTTTTGGATTAAGGGCAGGCACTTGAGTATTTTGTGCATGAAGAAATTGGTTATTTAAGATCTGTCAGCATGTGCAGTAAACTTGAATCAGGTGCATTTCTTGCAAATTAGAAAAAACCCTCAGGATGTATTGTGCCACCAGATACTGCTGCAATCAAATAAGAAATAAAACTCACAAATGTACCCCTGCAAATTGTTAATGATGTACTGAAACGTCAAAACGATGTGATTCTATGCATTGTCTCTGATTTATATACATGGGCTGCTCATAATGTGTCACATGTTTGACTGAACTGTTACTGTCACGCTCTACAGGAAGCCGACTACCCGATCCACGACCAGATCGACCTGTATGATGATGTGATATCCCCATCAGCCAACAATGGAGATGCTCCGGAGGACCGCGACTATCTGGACACACTGCCTACACAGGGTGGCTCAGAGGGAGGGAAGAGTTCCCAACCCAATGTGGTGTACACCTACACAGGCAAAAGGATTGCCCTGTACATAGGAAACCTAACATGGGTGGGTAGAAAGCTACTTAGATATGTGATATATCCATACAAAATATTTTTTAAATGGAAGCAACTTAAAAAAAAAAGTATCATTAAAGACAGGTATTCTTGTGCCTTGACAGATGTTCACCTATACATTGTGTAACTGTGCAACATAATATAATATATAAAATGAAGCTGGTCATTACACATGATTCCAGTCATGCTAATGGCGCTCTCTTCTCTCATGCAGTGGACGACTGACGAGGACCTGACAGAAGCTATCCGGTCGGTCGGCATCACAGATGTGCTGGAGATCAAGTTCTTTGAAAACAGAGCCAATGGCCAGTCAAAAGGGTTAGGTCTTTATTATATATAATTCTTATAAACTTAATGACAACCTGCTATAGGTTTCTTATAATTACTTCTTAGAACATATTGTGTGAGTGGAGTCCAACATTTGGTGGGAGCTATTTCTTACATATTTGTTCATAGTACTTTCAAGTTCTTGTTATGAATAAAATAATTTGTAATGGGCGCTAGTATTTTAGTTTTAGACAGTTTCAATTTAGATAAAAGTCATTTCTTTATTTGATTCTGTCCAGTCCTAATTTGTGAAATTGAATTTGGGCGAAAACATTTTCCTATATATATCTTTAACTATTTCAAAAGAAAAAACAAGTCATGCATTCACTCGGATTGTGTATAACCTCCTTGGCTTTTACCATGCAGGTTTGCACTGGTGTGTGTGGGCTCGGAGTCATCTTCCAGGAAGTTGATGGAGCTGCTGTCAAAGAGGGAGCTCCATGGTCAGAATCCCATCGTCACGCCGTGCAACAAACAGTCCCTCAGCCAGTTTGAGATGCAATCACGCAAAAGTAAGTAGAATGAATGTAAAACATGAGATTGCTTTATATTTGACACTTGATGAGAATTATTTTAACATGCATGCTTGTCACCATGTATATTTAAAAGGTCCTATATTTGCAAATGCTCTAAGAAATCAAAAAATATTACGTAACATCTTGTCATTTTGCAATGCATATATTTGTTATTATTTGAAATTGATTTTAAAACTCAGTTAGCGTTATCTCCTCATTTCCAAGGTGCCCAGTCAGGCCAGATGTCCGGGGAAGGCAAAGCCGGGCCCCCTGGCGGTGGCCTTCGTGGAGGGGGTTTCCCCATGGGTCGAGGCAGAGGCAGATTCCCCGGACCACCCGGCCCTGGAGGCGACCGCTTCCCTGGTCCACCCGGACCCGGAGGACCACCTCCACATTTCCCTGGTTAGTTTGGTAACATGCCTCTCTCAGTTTGCTGCTGTTATAACATTGTGACAAGTTCATTTAGCCAATGACATTATCCTTACTTCCCTGTCTCCTAATCTCATTAGGAGATTTAAGTCGTATTTATCACGTCTTCACTGGAAAAATCACATTGTGTGTGTGTGTGTGTGTGTGTGTGTGTGTGTGTGTGTGTGTGTGTGTGTGTGTGTGTGTGTGTGTGTGTGTGTGTGTGTGTGTGTGTGTGTGTGTGTGTGTGTGTGTGTGTGTGGTGTGTGTGTGTGTGTGTGTGTGTGTGTGTGTGTGTGTGTGTGTGTGTGTGTGTGTGTGTGTGTGTGTGTGTGTGTGTGTGTGTGTGTGTGTGTGTGTGTGTGTGCACCTCTAGTTGAGCACTTCACCTCTAGTTGAGCACTTCACCTCTAGTTGAGCACTTCACCTCTAGTTGAGCACTTCACCTCTAGTTGAGCACTTCACCTCTAGTTGAGCACTTCACCTCTAGTTGAGCACTTCACCTCTAGTTGAGCAAATAATCCTTCCCTGGCTGCAATTTTTCTGCTCACTGATAATTTCCAACAACCCATTCCTTGAGAAGCAGTTTTCTCAAAGCTTTACTTGGCAAGCTACCAAACCTAAACTCCTAGCAAATCTTGGATTGGCTGCCGTTAGAAACAAAGTAGGACAGCGTGGAGGTGCCAGCCTTTTAGCTTTTTCTCTCCCATTTTTGCATCTTTTCCCACCTCTTTCACATGTCCCCTTTCGCTTAGTGGCTTGTTCCGCATGCTGCTGGGCTGAGGCAGGCCTTTGGTTATTGAGGGGAAGGGTATGAAGGAAAAAGTTGTGATTGGTTTGCTTTCTTCCCCATTAGGCTCGGGAATGAGACCAGATCTGATTAGGCACCAAGATGGCCCTCTGATGGATATGAGTTTCAATCCCTTCCCGCCGGGGGGCAGGAACGGGAACTGGCGTGGCAGAGGTGACACCTCAATTCAATTGATCGATCACCTTTTTAAACCTAACCCTAATTTCTTTCCGAACTACCTTAATAGTCAAATTGCATTTAATCCTTTCGCCGAGAGTTACATTGTGTTTGGACTAAAACATTTTATAAAGTTAGAGATTTGTTTTATTATCATTTGAGGTAAGTTCAGATCAGAAATTCACAAAAAATGCTCCTGAAAAGCAAACTGAAGAGGCAGGATCCCACAGTACGTTTTTAAAGATCATCCTGCATTCTGCCTAGTCAGTCAAATTCATACTGTGAACAAAACAAATGCAGCTGACTACGGTTTGCAGGGCCCATTTGCCTTAACCTCTTAAGTCATATATTCATATTTCTGGTCTCATTTTAAAACTAGTAAGCTTAGCAATATGAATCTCTCGTAAGCAATTGGCCATTTAACAGTAAATAGCAGAGGTGGGAGTAAGTCCTACATGTGCAAGTCATGAGCAAGTCTCAAGTCTTGACCTACAAGTATCAAGCAAGTCCCAAGTCACTGGTGAGAGTCAAGCAAGTCAAGTCAAGTCATTGCTCAGGTCAAGCAAGTCAAGTCATACGAAATTCTGATGAATAAGCCCAGTTTCCGCATTTAAATCAGTTAAAAGACAGTGGTTATGAAAATGGATTCAACCCACACTATGATCTTCATTACATACACAGTTAATCATTTGAAATCTAATTTAGACCGATGACAATCATATTAGATTCATATTAACCTTAGAACTGCAGACAATATAGCTAGGACTCAATCAAAAAGTCTGTTCAAAAAGGCAGAATTCCAGGTAAGAAAATCATATATGGCATTTGCCATTACACATATTTAATTTACATTTCTGTTAACACTAGAACCGCCAACAGTGTCAGCACCTACATAGATATCATTTTCAAATCATTTAATTTGTTCCTCTTCATAATTTCCTTATAAACTAAGTAGGACGATTTAAAACTCAGTTCATTGGGTTAATTTAGAAATTGCTTCAGTTTATCATCATAACAGATCAAAAAGTTCAGATTCATTTTACAATAAATCAAGGAATGATGCACTTCTACAAACAAAAACAACATAATTAAAACATTTAAACAAACTACTAAAAGTAGATGAACTACATTATTCAACAGTTTACAGTAACTTCTGATAATAACACAGGGGAAATAAACGAGGCATCTCTTTTCCTCTCTCTCTCCCTCTCCTGACAGCCCGTCAGTATCAGGGTTAGTCAAAATGAATCCCTTGGCGGTTCTAGTGTTCATTTACCGTTTTGTGTTCTCTTTGCAATGCTTAATCGATTTGAAACCAAGTCTAATGTAGCTTAAACTTAACGTTAGCTTTCTAGCTAACACAACACATTCACGCACCTTTCTCTGTGGGGTTTTTGACGAATGAAGTTGGATGTTGTTGTGGTCGTGTCACTGATCTTTATGCTGCAGACCCTGCATACGGCTGTTCTCTTCTTATTAGCGTCATCGACAACATAATCCTTGAATCCAAACTTGACTATTTTTTGAGTAACGCTAGCCGCTGCCATGTTAACTGACACTCCTGCCGTCTAGTGGGTTGCCAGGTTTGCGCGCACGGCGCTATAATCACCCAATCACGTTTCAAAAAAACTAAACGTAATATCTCACTACAAAAACAAATGCAAATATTTAATTTTAAAAAGTCAAGTCCTTTCAAGTCATCTGTCTCAAGCTTAAGTCAAGTCTCAAGTCATGAATACCAAGTCAAAGTCAAGTCTTTTATCAATGTTAGTCAAGCAAGTCTCAAGTCAAGAAATATGCGACTCGAGTCAAGTCATGTGACTCGAGTCCCCACCTCTGGTAAATAGGGTATAGAGTAAACATAGTGATAATGAAATAGTTATTAAGTGCTGATTATTTAAATAGACAGCTCCATGCTATATAGTCAGGTAAATGTAGAATGCCAAGCCTCACAGTGCTTGGAGGTATCCATCCTAGCATAATAAAATGATATATGGCTTGTTGGTGTGAGTGTTTTATATACAGCCCTCAGGTGGCCACAAGCTCAGTTAGCCAACGTCAGACAAACTTGACTCGGTTGCTCTTGTATCTGCGGTTCTCAGAAATGCTCCATCAGCATTGACTTGACTTTAGAACCTGGATAAAATGCTTGCTTGAAACAATACAAGTGTTTCTCGTCATCTGGTTTGTTGCCATCAGATTTTATTTGCAGCATTATTGTTTTGCCTTTTGACATGTGTTGTATCCTGTAGATATGGCTTTCTCTCCCATATCTGTCTGTGTTGGTTTCCTTGATTTGAACTGCCCTATTTCAATGATTCATTCAAGGACTATTAATTGTCATTCTGCAGCACAGGGTTGCACAACCAAATGCACTAGTAGTAAATGTGTGCTACACCAGAAAAACCAGACCAATCAAATCAAATCAAGTTTTATTTATAAAAGCGATTTTTGGTCGAGCCAAAGTGCTGTACATGTAATAAAAACACATTACTACAATACATCACAGCAGTGCGTTAATTACCTGCGGGTATCTACATCAGAATAAAATAATGGAAAATACTGGATGTGGCAGGATATTAAATTCAGAGCTGGTCCAATTATATTTTCAAGTAGAAAAGTATTGGTGGTTTTAATACTAGCACACTTATTCCCCAAGCATGCACTTAATATTTGGGAGATCTCTACACAATAACCATGACAGTGTTTTCTGGATCTCACTCTGTCTCATGCCATGCGTTTTGTCCACTGTGTTCTGTTTTAGGTGGGATGCAAGGTCCACCACGTCCCCCTCCTGGTCCACCCGGACCCCCTGGTCCTCCAGGACCTCCACCTCCTGGCCAGGGTCTCCCCCCTCTCCACCCTGGTCCTCCAAATCGTGGTGACAGGCTTCTTCCCCCTGTTCTCTTCCCTGGTCAGTTTGGCCAGCCTCCCATGGGCCCCCTGCCCCCAGGCCCCCCACCTCCAGGTTACGGGCCTCCTCCTGGTCCCCCGCCACCTCAACAGGGCCCACCTCCCCCGGGACCCTTCCCTCTGCGCCCCCCAGGCCCCCTTGGGCCCCCCATGTCTTTGGCTCCACCTCCACACATGCCAGGTCCCCCACCAGGTGGACCACCACCAGCACCCCATGTCAACCCTGCCTTCTTCCCCCCACCTGGCAACAACAACATGCCCCCCAACGACAACCGAGGCCCCCCCGGACCAAACGACCCATACGGACGCCCGCCACCATATGACAGAGGGGACTACGGTCCTGGAGGCCGGTAAGAAAGGATGGTGGAGGACAGACTAATAAATATTACATATAATCGCTCGGCCTTTGTTAACAATTCATTTGTCCCACAAAGAAAGTTTTCTTTAATGATAAAATGAAGTTGCTAACTCTAAAATGTGTTGATTCACGTTGTTGCACTGGTTGCAAGATTACTGTTTTATGTAACTCTGGGACCTAACAAGTACTGTGACTTTTGTGTGAATTTGTAGGGAAATGGAGGCGTCCCGGACCCCACTGAGCGAGGCAGAGTTTGAGGAGATCATGAACAGGAACAGAGCCATCTCCTCCAGCGCAATTTCTCGAGCAGTGTCTGACGCCAGTGCAGGTGACAATTCCAATAATATAGGAATATACTTCTCATGTACTTATTTACTGTGGGTGAGCCCATATATTATATGATGCCATTAGAGAACAACTGATAGTCAATGCCACCTTCTGTGTCCTTTAGCTGACTATGGCAGTGCCATAGAGACCTTGGTGACAGCCATCAGTCTGATTAAACAGTCCAAAGTGTCGGCGGACGACCGCTGTAAGGTCCTGATCAGTTCCCTGCAGGACTGTCTCCACGGCATTGAGTCAAAAAGCTACGGTTCTGCCTCTAGGTAAGATGTTCATTTTGTGCAATTTTTATATTCAATGTGACATTATACTGAGTGTATCTAAATGTCTTCCTATTGGGAATTGGCCCTGGAAGATTTGGTATTTTAAACTTTTAAACCCTTGTGCACAGTCCAATGATGCTTCTCAATGCCAGGCGAGAACGTTCCAGGGAACGGGACCATAGCCGCTCCAGAGAAAAGAGCCGGCGTCACAAGTCTCGTAGCCGTGATAGGCATGAAGACTATTACAGAGAACGCAGCCGGGAGCGCGACCGCCATCGTGAGCGGGACAGGGACCGAGACCGCGAGAGAGAGCGCGAAAGGGAGTACCGACACCGCTAGACGATAAGAAAGGTGGGTACAACATTTCCTGTAGTATTTTGTTCTGTAATAAGCTCTCCTCTCTTTTTCATCACTACATCTTTTAGACATAACCAGACCAGTTCAGGCGCTAATAGCCTAATCTACATGGCAGAAAAAGTCTGCTTTGATTGCTCACCTCCTCTCTTCTTCATTGGAACAAAGGTTTCAGTTGAGTATGAGGCAATGATGCCTTTTTACTCATAAAATAGCATAATAAAGTTTTTGAACATTTTAGAAATATTTGAAGTCATAATTTACAGTAGAGATGGAAGCCATAGTCTATTTATTTGTCCCACTAAGAATGTATGAGAAAAGCGACTAGGAGAGATGAGGTAAGCAAGAAAGAGTCTTTTAAAACTCCTTTGATTTAAGGTAGGTATAAGGTAAGTCTGCTTTCCTCAAAATGTCCCCATTTGTATTGAAGTTTGTGACGTGAATATGGTCTTGGTCACAATATGTGTAATACACAACTACTGTAATCATCATGCTGCATTGCGCAGAAGGGTTTTGTAAGAGTTGTATCAATGCTGTGGTTCTCAGGAAGTTGACTTTATGGATGCATTGTAACCTTTTTGTCTACATGCCTTTGAGACTGGTAATCTGCAAAAAAAATGTCTGCCTCTCTTTGTGTTCTGCCATATCCATTCCAAAATAAAAGCATCATTTAATTTACTTATAAAACCGCAACAGCCGTTTTACATCTACATATTTGTCTGTGGTTGGTAAAGTTCTGTACGTGCTCTGCCTTTTTGTCAGTTCAGATAAATCAGATCCGTAGATACACTGTTGCTTATGTTAACATCCATCCAGCTCATAAAAAGAGGATTTTGATTTTGATTTTTGCCAGCCTCTTTGGCCAGTGGACCAAAAAGTAGAAGCGTTTTCTGGCTTAAATATAAAGATTTAATACTAAATTGACATTTCATTTAATGTGAGTTTAATTGAAATGTATTGTGACAGCTGAGTTGGTTTGTCAGTGTGATTGTTATAGTAGTTCCTTGACTGATTGGCAGGTTTGGCATGTCAAAGTATTCCCTACAGATTTAGCATTTTGTATCATCTGTTCAAATTGGGATGTATTTTTAGAAGAAAAAAATCCAATGTTTAATTTGTTGATGGAGCAACATATACTTGGTAAATGTTTTATTCGCGTATAACTGAGAATGTCATTTTGCTACATTTGCATGTCAGTAACATTTCCTGACATTTTACTATTGTCAAATTCAATGTCTTGTAACTTAGTGTTGCTCACCTGTGAATAATTGTACCTCAATTTAAGAAGCTGAGGTGACGTAAAAATACCTTTTTGATATCATGTTCTGACAACATAGACCTTGATACCCTGAGCACAAGTAATGTGTAAAAAAATGTTTGAGTCTAGTTGAGTTGCCTGATTCACTCAAACTGAAATTTCCATTTGAATACTTCTGATATTTTTGATGTGACTTTTATGTTCATTGAAATTATTTCCATTTCGGCCGCAGTATAGTAACTGGCTTTTTGGATTATGTTCTGGGTCAGTTGCTAATAAATGTATACGGAAATATTGTTTAGGCCAATTGTCGCTTGGTGTTGAGGTTTTCAAATCATTATGTAATGTTTGTGGATGGATGCTTTCTTCCATGGCGTCTCTTGCGTGTTTAACAACATGATACTTTTGCAAAAACCTGTAGATGAAATATCTGATTTGAACGATTTTGTGTGGTCCTCTTGCCCTATACGGCAAAGCCCTTATGATGTCTGTGGTGTTGTTTAATAACCAGAGCTCATAGAGCAGACTCTAGAAGCTTCTGCATCTCAGTCGCACATCACCCCAAATAATATTTCTGATATAGAATTGATTTACTCTCGTACATAAACTACATTCACTTTTGACAACTTCAATATAGTGGACATCAGACACATTATTTATAAAATATTCCCTTTTCTGATTCTTTAAAGGAGTTTGTTTTTGTCCATTTTAACATGAAGTATTTGTACAGTTTCACAGTTGTAATAATTAAATGTAAAAACCTTTTCCTAAATGCTCTTTTAAAGCGATGCATTTGATGATAGCATTACAACATGAATGACTGCAGCCTCCTCTAACACACACGTTGTTCTCTCTGTTAGATAAGAGATCCCCAGTGGACACAGGGCTTAATCACTTCTGCTCATTTATAGATTCCACAAATGCATTGAAGTATATTTTTACCTAAATGTCTGCAGAAATCCCAGTTTGTATTCAGTCTTGATACCTTTTTTAGAGCATGGTAATTGGGGGGTAAAAAAGCGAATTTGGCCCTTTTTATCCTGATGGTAGTGTGGCTATTTGTTGTGTCCACAGATATGCTTAAACATTGTTTTATCTGTTCATATTGCCATGGGGGAATTTTCCAGGCTGACATTTTTCTCATCGTCACAAGCCTGATGTACTTGTGAAAAAAACCATATTATCCGCTCATGTTAAACCAGGGTCAAACAGAGTTTCTTTGACTATGTCAGCACTTAGTATTTATGCCCATTTAAAAAAAACAAAAGAAATAATAAAAAAAAAACACTATGCTAGTGTCACTTGCATAGGCCAAGTGACACTTGGCCTATGCACAATGTTAACATTCACCTAATTTGTCTTCAAACATTTGTAATGCTGTTTAGTTCCCCGTATACAGATCAACAAATCAGCCTTGTAGATATCACAGGGAGTAGAATTGCAAAGGTGTACATTTCTCTACACCACCATGCACTAAAACTATTTTTTGTAATGCCTGAAGCATTATTAGTATATTTAAGTATTTCTGAAGATTATTTGATATTCTAATCTATTCAATAGAACATTTGTAATGATAAATATCACATGCGTTGTGTTTTATAAAAGTTGAATCCGTTTTGATGGACGGTTTGACCCTGGTTTGGCTCTGTCCTTATTCATTTCCATGCTTTATTAGATGACACGCTGCTACACATTACATATCTTTTTCAGAGTAGAACATGTTTTAATCTTATTTTTTATATGGCAAATTATGATTTGGTCTGCTATGTAATTGGCTGTTGACAAGGTTCAGTCATGCCCCTCTCCCCTTTTATAAATAATAGTGTGACTAGGATTGACTTTGTCTTCTGTGTTAGGTATTGTCGGTTTTGTAACATGTAAAACCCTATGTACAGCAAAAAAGGAATGTTCAAGTTTCAATATACACTTCAATCTTTGGACCATGTAAATCAATCTGTTGTTTGAATTGCCTGTAAGTAAGGCTTTCCTGGTGCATAAACTAACTCTAAATTCCCCATGTAAAGTAAAAACCTTGCATTAAAAAGGCTAAATCAATTGGATTTAAATGAATAGAGTAACTAACAAATTTGACTTTCTGTATCAGAACTGTTGACGTTTCATCTGATGAATGTTACATTCCATTTGAAGTGCTTTAAGTGGACCTCTGATACATACCGTCCTCTTTGTAGTTTTGTGTTTGTATCTACAGCTCTTTTTGTCCTTTCTGTGTCTTTACTACTATATTGCTTCATTTCCGGAAACGTTGGCTGTGTCAGTGGTTCAAGTTTTCAGTGTCTAGCTTTGTATTCAATGCCTGCCATTACCATTTGGATTTAAGATAAATGTGTTCTGGGAATAGCTGTATGACAAACGTACAGCCCAGTGTTATGGGTAGTAACCAACCCTAAACATAATGCATACTAGGGATGGGAATTTGAAAGCAAATGTATATTCGAATATTCAACCCCCAAAAAAAACGGTTAACCGAAATGTACATATCCTATTAAAAAATGTGGGAAAGAATTTTTTTATTTTGAAAAATAAATAAATGCATGTTCAAATAAGTATAGAAACCAAGTCGAATTTGTCAAATGCATTGAACTGGTGATCACAGTTGACAGCTATAGGCCTACAGCTTTCATGCTTAAAACATAACTTGGTTTTTAAATGAAAGAGGGATCATACACGAACAACATAACGGGTTAGGGTAACGTAACCCTATCACAACAGAGATCAACAACCTATAACAGGGCCTATGCACAGAATGCAGCTATTCAATACTCATTCTTGTTTAAGAATATGAGCATGTCTACTCAGGGGAGAGGCGGGTGCGGAGATGATTCACAATCGGGCCAGCTGTAGAGAAGACCCTCTCAGCTGGAATTTGGGCATAAGATGAGGTTTGAGTCTGCGTGTAGGGAGGGGCAGCAGCCATATCATTAGCTAGAACTAGCTAGATCTGATGGATTTGGACATAAACACGAGTGAAGTATAACCGGACGCGAGAGAGAGAGAGAGATCAGCACCTGTAGCTCTGCCCGCTGTGCGGGACCGGTGAGCAGAGCAAAACACACATTTAGACCTAACACATTTAGCTATGGCACTGTCGTATACATTGAATTATTCCATTTGATCATATGTAATCAACATAGGCACCCCTCCCAAAAAAAAAATTACAATAAAAATATTCATGACTCATATTCAAATACCTGAATAATTTCGAATATTCGATTAATCGTTCCCATCCCTAATACATACCAATGAATAATTTAGAAGTTGTTGAAAGGGGAGGGGGCAAGTCTTGGAAAACCACTGGGGATTGGAGAATTTATTTCAGAAATGTACCAGAATCTTTGCAAATTGCACTAGGCATACAGTATGCTACACAAAACCGAAAATATGCTGCACTATGCAGGAGTGACCCTGTACAGCCAGGAGTCTAGTTAAATCCTGTCTTAGCCCTTTCTATCAACATATTCCCTCTATCCATTGATCTGAAATGTAGTGTACATTATAGTCGTGCTTTGTGTAACGTTCAAGCATCTATATATTCATTTACACAAACACATTTATGTAATACACATTTTTAATCCATGTCTCCAAAACACTAATAAAGTACATTTAGGCCTGGGCTTGAAAGCATATTGTTTCATTTTCTGGTTTGTGTATATACTGATAGATTTCCTTCTTGTCCTGTTAAAGTTTGCATGACATTGTTTCTCTGTGTCTGTCCCAGGGTTGGGTGCAATACAACGTCTACAGAAGTGAATGTCCTTATATTGTATTATACAATTTATATACCCTATTTTCAGAGACCGTTTAATTGTTTTATGACCATACTGTTGTAAGAATAACAGTAAATGGACATGTGTAACTCACAGTGATGGTGAATTGCACCCAGCCCTGGTATGCACTATGTATGTGTAGTGTAGAGGTTTAATGATGAGGGGGGTAAAGTGTTCTCTGTTGGGCTGCCTCCAAACCAAACTCCACCCTTCGTTTTGGCCCCCTTTAGCTAACGAGGATCAAGGATGGATGGAAGGAAAAGGAGGAAGGATTTCATTGCGCCACCACCTCCCCGCCCTGCATGACCGGACAGGATCAAAGCACCACCTCCTCCTCCATCTCTCCTGTCCACCATACTTCTCTCTTGTCTGTTCATCTTGTCTGCCTGAATAAGAGCAGTGGATGGAAGACCCTGACCTGTGTAAGGCTATGTTATCCAAACATCTATACTCATGTTAACTAAAGATGAAAGAAAAGAAACTTTCCTGACGGTTCTTTTATTTTTATGATGTTTTATTTGACAAGAAAATGACTGTGATGCTTTTTTTTGTTGCAAAGAAACGATAAAATGGCCCACCGATCCCTTACTAGAAGACACAAACATCACATCCCGTTTGCTTTTTATTTTCCCTTGGCTCGCTGTACTGTGTACATTCAGTTTAGAGATCATTTTTATAGGGTACATATTTGATGTGTTCTCCCCTCCCCCTCCTCTCATTCTCATGTATTTTTTTTGTTGTTAGAATGTTTGTAAATGTCTCTCTGCTTTTGATTAAAAACTAGATGGTGTTGTAATAAAAAATGTTTACTGATGTACTCGATGCAGTTGGTGAATTCCTCTACATGTTTGGCTCATTTATATTAAATGTGTATTTTGGACTGCAAACTTCATAATGAATGTCCACCTTTTTGATTTTTTTTCTTCTGTTTTCTAGCTGTATTAGCAAGCGGCTTTATGGTTTTGGAAAAACAAATCTTTTTTTGTTGTGTTCTTTTCTCTAAATGGAAAAAACTTTTAAAAGGTAAGATGAATGTACTTTATTGCAATGTGAAATGATGTGTTGCTGGGAAGATGTGTAGACCTTAAACGGGTTGAAGCTCTAAACTATTTCAGGCAGCTCTGGTACACGCATACCTTGACCAAAAAACAAGAGGCAAATGCTGTTTACAAAGTGGTTTCTGTTGTGTCTAATCGCGCTGACTAGCTAGTGCCACGATCTCCCTATTCAAATTTGTCTTATGTTCTGATGTGAAATATGTTCTTAATCCATATAACTTCAAGCAGGGATTGTAGTAAACATGTAATTGGTGATCCTTTCAATTTTAATTCTAAATTAGATCTTCCATTTCAAGTAAATTTTGCTTTTACACAATTTTGTCCACATTTTTGTATATTCATGTGTAACACTTGGCCCTGTCACTCCACAACATAAGCAACAGATTCAGTGCAGGGTCTTTATAAGCAACTTTTTAAACATGCTGTCTGCACCATCTCACTAACGTTGTCATATGCACGCATCATGTCTTTCTTTCCAACACCCATAATGTTTGTCTTGCATTTTTGTTGGGCTGTGATTGTATACACTTTTGTGATACAGAGCTTTTAGTTGGTAGTATTAAGTAGATCGTTTAGGCCAATAAGCACTGAGGTTCATGTCTGTTTTTTACTGTCTGATCAATATTTTTAATTACAAAATATATTTGGCGTAGATATCCTGATATTTGACATTGGCCAGTCCAGTTGTTGAATTTTAGTAAATAAAAATTGGGGAAAATATATTTGTGGTGCTGCAACAGTGTTTCATCAGAGGGTTTGATATTGCTGTTTGTTCCATGTGTACTCCATAACAAAGACATGGATAAAAAGAGACTCAAACTGACATTGTTGATTAACACTGATATTGACAGCTTAGCATAACTATTTAAATGGTCAACAATAACTTTGTCTCAATCTTTTTTTATGTGTTGTCTTATTTGAGATAATTGGTTTACTTTGTTTTTCCTTTTTATATCTGTCTCAATTCAAATGCACAACCTTCTCCTGAAATATTGCATGCCTAAAAGTATTTGATGATTGTAAGGATTGTTGACCCGCCATCTATTCATTGTAATGGCTTCAGAATAATCTCTGATCAAAACAAAGTTGTTAACTTTGTAAAGCCAACCGCTATTTTAAATCCCCATGCTGCTCTTTTAAACTTGCAAACAGTATACTTTAAAAAGTGTTTGATATGCACTGATATTAATCATTATGCTCCCATAACCTTGTAAACTCTGTAAAAGACTAATGAAACATTGTAAATTAGGGTTTTGTAAAAAGAAAATGCCTGATTGAAGACTCTTTTGTGCCTTACAAAGTCTTTATTGTACATTGACTTTATATACATTTTGTGATCTGAGCAATTTTTCAAAACGGTTTCAATCAGTGTCATCCTGACATAGGTCAATCGGACATAGGTGTCGCTGTGTATTTGTTGCTTTGTGCTCTCCACAGCGCTGAAGGTAAGTGTTTTCAGGTCCTCGTCCCTGCAGAAGGATTGATTCTGAACCCAGATCCAGACTTTACCTCACACAATCAGATGGAAAGTATGTTTTTGTGTGTGTGTTTGTAATATTTGACAAAGTATATTTTCACTAAATATTCATCTTTGGCTACTTTAAGACCAACTGTAACAATTGATTTGAAAAAAAGCCATGTGTTACCTTTAACTGAAACTTGACAGGTTTTCCGAACATTTAAAGGTACCTGGTGATGGCAGTTAAAGTGTTTTACCTGTAAATATAATCGATCAGCATGGCAATGCAAACCTGCACTTTAACACGCAGGATATGAAACGTTGAGTATGATCAGATATGATTGTAACTTGGGTTTTTTCTATTAATTGGGTAACTTTTAGATTATTTCCAGGGGGGACTGTTATAATGCTTCTAGTAATGATTTGTTCCATTTACAGTTTCCCTGTCAGGGAGAGAGCCTGTAGCCAAAAGTTATCAAATGGCCATTAGTAAAAAAATAAATAAAAGATTTGTAAATGCAGTTTGGTTTCTTGGCTTTCCTTCGTGCACGATGAATCTAATTGGTATTCAGAGAAGGCTGCCGTCAGGAAGGGCTAACATCAATTACTTCAAGGCAGTCTGGAAATGCAAATAATTTGGTCTGCACATTATCTACAATAACCTCGGTTTCTAAATCCACTCCCCCCCCCAATAGATAGAGGTTCAATACACAAATTATGGAAATAAAATATTTTTTAGAGTTAAGGCCTTTTTTGTATGTAACTTACTACGAGATACTATTATGATACATATTTCACTAAGGGACGTTCACTGATAAATTGTTTATTTTAGCTATAAATATTGAGGTTAAAGAGGGTTTACTTTATATCGCCATTTTCAAGGACATCATGCTATGAATATATGCGATTAAATTATCAATAAAAATAACATTCTTGAAATGATATACATATACAAATAAATGCAACGTTATTGTGCCCGGAACCTTCTGGTAGCCATGTCTCACTCCTGCCGTGCAAGTTAACATGTTGCACTTCCGGTGCTTGTTTGGTTGGTAGTTTAAAATGACAAACGCTGGCTATATGAAACACACTTTTAATGCTTAAATGGCAGCTATACTAAATGTGGATACACGCCTAGGAACAAGAAGAGTCCTGTAGAGTGAACACAGAGTTGAACTTCTCTCTCTCTATCGTACTATGTTCAAAAAGATGACTGAATTTGGTCCAGATTCCGGGGGGAGAGTGAAGGTAACACTGGAGCTGTCTGCGGTTACATTAACTCACTGTGTTGCATTACTTCTCTGTACGGTAGTTCATAATTACACCAATAAGGAATGACTAACGATAACCACTGTTTTTTCTTCTTCTTGAATGTGGGAGTATTTGAACAGGAACTGATTAATTATATAATAACAACGTGATGTTTCCCCTCTGTGATCTGCAGGGAGTAACCATCATTAAGCCCATTGTGTTCGGGAACGTTGCCCGTTACTTCGGGAAGAAGAGAGAGGAGGACGGACACACACATCAGTGGTCTGTCTATGTGAAGCCTTACAGAAACGAGGTGAGACATCCGGATCACACCAAGGATATCAAATACAGCAGTGTATGTTAACACACTCATCATTTCAAAGATATTGGTCTTCTACTTATTGTCATGTTTCCCCCATGTCTCCCAGGATATGTCTGCGTATGTGAAGAAGATCCAGTTCAAGCTTCATGAGAGCTATGGTAACCCACTGAGAGGTGAGGAAACAACAGGATGACCACAGGCAGTAACTGCATCCCAATGTCTCTGTGATTTAGAGGGGATGCATTGTTTCTTGTGAATTATTTTACATTATGACAAAATTATTTTTTTAATAAATGGAATACAAATGAGAAAAAGTGATTGGAAATGGATAGTACAATAAATAAGCCAGGTTGGTTTAAACTTAAAGGTAATTCAAATGTGTGATCAGACAATAAAAATACTATATGCGTGTGTACAAATACTTCTCTCTGCCTTCCAGTGGTGACGAAGCCTCCGTATGAGATCACAGAGACGGGCTGGGGGGAGTTTGAGATCATCGTCAAGATCTTCTTCATTGACCCCAATGAGAGACCTGTGAGTGCCTAATATATATTTGATTGAGCTGCTTGGATTCCTAATATTCAATATTCAGCACATGATAAGATTAGTATTCAAGCCAGTGTGAGAAAATAATGTAAAACTTGTTTTCCTTGTGTGTGTGTGTGCCCGTGTGTGTGTCAGGTGACTCTGTACCATCTGTTGAAGCTCTTCCAGTCAGACACCAGCGCCATACCGAAGAAGACTGTTGTCTCTGAATTCTATGATGAAATGGTACTCCTTCCTTTGTGCTCGGGTTTTTTAATTGTCTGAATGTTCAGTATTTCTTTAATTAAAATTCTAGGCCCATCAGGTATAATGATATACTAATATCTAATCTTGCCACCATAAAGGGAAATGCATGAATCACATATTGTTTATCGTCCACACTTAGAGAATTAGATGTTCACACTGACATGGCATCAGTAAAGGGGACCTATCAAGCAAAATGCTCTTTTTGGTGTCTTTTATACATAAATATATGTTCCCGGTGTGTCAGGGAATTCACAAAGTGTGAGAGAGTATGTGGGGGGGGGGGTGCTGCTGAGGGGGCTGCAGCACCCCCAAACGCGGCGCTCCTACAGTGTAAGCGCGCCACAGTTTAGCCGCTGCGAGGCTCCACTAGCAACCCCCCCCCCAGCGCGTCACAGTTTCGCCGCTGAGAGAGTGTGTGTGTGTCTGGGGAGCTCCACGGATTGGTCCATTTGGACCAATGGGTCCATATGGGTATGGTCACGTCACCATACCCAGGAAGAAAAAAATGGAAAAAGAGAAATCTCCAACGACGCGTTCTGGGGCAGCATAGACAGGTCTTTTCTGTGTTAGAGTTTTACTCGCTACAGGGTGTACTTTGAGGGTTTGTGACTCTGCAGACAGTTTACCTGCATAAAAACCTTCATAACACACAAGGGGACGGGTAATAACCGGAAAAGCATGACATGGGACCTTTTAAGGTGTCCGAAAATGACAATAAAATTGCGGTATGCAACGTGTGTGAAGCAGAAATCCTGCAGCTCCACCTGCTGTGACGGACCGGTGAGCGGAGCAACACACACACTAATGGCGCATTTCCACTGCAGGGCCTCGCACGGCTTAGTACGGTATAGTTAGGCCTTGGTAGGCCAGGCTCACTTTATGCTGCATTTCCATTACAGTTTAGGAACTGGGGTAGTAACTATAGTAACGCAGTGTAGGCGGAGCCGTGACGTCATCTTCAATGCGAAACACAAAACCAACTTCAGCCGTTAGCTGTTAGCACTCAGAGCTCACAGCTCCTCATATCTGTTCAGAAACTAGACAAAAGTTAAACAACTACAAACCACAGACTGTCTGTGTCATGGCGAATACAGTCGCTGGTTTATTTATGTCTGTGTAGGCCGTTGTTGTGAGTGTGGACGGTAGGAGCATATACTGCGTTAGCTTAGCCGATCTCCATTCAGAAAACACGCATTTTAAAAGGGTCTTCGCCTGCTGTCTTGTCTGCAGACTTGTCAAAGCATTGATTCATGGTTTTTACTAACCGGTATCAGTATGTTGTTACTTCGGCATCATTTTGAAACGTGTATTACAATTAAATCATGGTAAAATATGTTCATTTTGTTGTAGTTGCCAGCGATTCTCTCACTAGTTTAGCATACTCAGCCCGGTTGTTGGCCTGGAAAGAACCTCGATTTTGGAGAGCCAGAAAACTGTGAAAAAGTACCCGCTAGCCGGAACTACGCCTAGTGGAAACGCAACCAAAAACGGGCTGGGCACGGCACGCTTAAACCGCGCTCTGCGCTGTAGTGGAAATGCGCCATAAGAGTTAGACCCAACACACTTAGCTATTTTATCTACCTCTGGAACAAGCTAAACTAGTTATAAATATGTTTATTCTTCACTGTCGGGTCACTCATTACTGGATCAGTGAGCTGCATGAGATACTGACAGGCTGTCAGGAGAGAGAGAGAGAGAGGGGGTGAGCGCTTCCGCTCATTTCTCCCGTGTTATTATCCAAAGTTAATGTAAACTTGAATAATGTACTTCATTTGAATGTAATAATTATGTTGGTAGGTTGTTGTTTGTGGAAGTGCCAGTGAATGAGCCCCATTAACTGAGTTTTAAACATCGCTTTAAATGGAAGATCCCCATAGGCCCCGCCCACTCGATCGGATCGGCGATCGGTATCGGCCGATACTGATTCCGGCGATCGGCCCCAAAATTGGCGATCGGAGCATCCCTAGTTTTTTATATTTTTTTATATATCTGAGACTCATAATATATGCCTAAAAATAGCATAATAGGAGACCTTTAATGTAATGGGTCAGTAACTCAGTTTTCTTTCTTTTTCAGATCTTCCAGGATCCTACAGCCATGATGCAGCAGCTACTGACCACATCGAGACAACTCACACTGGGAGCATACAAGCACGAGACAGAATGTATGTACAACAACAATGAACACGCACACAAACACATTTTCAGATACCCTAATTGTGACTTACTGTTAACCTCAGTACCCTGCATAATGGAAACATGTAGTTTGTGTCACTGAACTAAAGAGTTTGAGTCCCTCTCATGCTAATGAGTGCTTGTCTGTGTCTGCAGTCAGTGAGCTGGAGCAGAGGACCAAGGAGAAAATGGACGCGGCAAAGAGGAGAACCAGCCAGGAGATCACTGAGCTGAAGGACAAACTAAAAGCCAGCAGAGAGAACATCAACAGCCTGAAGGCAGAGATCAGGAAGCTGGAGGACGACGGAGACCACAAGGACCACTGAGGAACGGACATAAGGATTAAAAACATTGCTGTGACATATTTTATGATCACACATTTTGTGTTTTAATCGTTTTTTTTACATGGACCCTCAGAGAAAACATTACATTACAACTTTTTTACCCACACATTGCTTGAACCGCTGATCCAACATTAATCCTGTCCACTCATGTCCATGTTATTGGTACCTGATAAGAGGACAACAGCAAAAGTCATTTTAGCAAACCCACATCCATACCTACCTGAAGAGATGTCCACTTTAGTGTCGGAATGTAAAAAGTGTAATAATTTGGTTATTTTTACTGATCTTTTGATTTTTCTATAAAAAGTAATTGTGTTTACAAGATTTCTTGTATATGTTATTTATTTTGTAACAATTTGGGTTAGATGAGGGTTTATTAAAAACACATGACAAGTGTTGAACTGCAACCATAGTAGCGTCCGGCTAGTCAAGGTTAATATATGACAATATTGTTAAGCATTGTGCACCACAATTGCAAATGTTGAGCAGAGTTTGTCCTGCTTTTCAATCCTGATGCTGTCTATATTTTAGCAGAATACACCATTTCCCACCGACAGTCCACAGGTGCATACACTAGATGGGTGTGACTGCATGAGGGCTGATGAAGTTTATGTTGATTCACTCTTATAGAATCCTTTGAGTGAGAAATGGCTTTTAGGATTGGCATAGCCAGTTAGTGCTCTGCAAAAGTTGGTCAAACGTAGTGAAAGTTTGCTCTGTGATAAAGCCATTATTGCAACACCATAAGCTTCAGTTTAGGCAAAACTGAATTTGCCCTAACATTGTATACATACACGTTTGACCAATACCAATTTTGAGAACAAACGTTATTACATTTCTTAACGATTCAATGGTGATATTGTTTTTGTATCTATTCTAAAGAGGTAATATAGGCCTTTTCATTTGAGCCGAGATTAGGATTTTCACATTTCCGAAAGCCCCTGAAAGCATCTGGGTGGAATTTCCAACCACCTCAGCGTCCGTACTGAGACTTCCCTTATGTTTAAATATGCAACTTTATGTCGTCTTTTGGGGATTTATTAAAACTTTAAACCAAATATTGTCTAACACAAAGGGCTATCATGAAGTCAGTGTTGTGCAGGCCGGTTCATGTGTTGCTGGATGGCGGCTTTAGTAACTTCTCCGAGCGGCTGAAGGCGGCTGTGCTCCGGCTGCCCGCCACCAGGAGGAAACATTCGGGGTAGGTGGACCATTTCACGTTTTGTGTACTCATGGAAGTGTTTGTGGGGGGCTTCACCTGTTATGTGACACATTTTCTCAGTTATTATGACTAAAATAATTCTAATTGAACACGGTCACCCTGTGTAATCAGATGTTGCCAACCTTTGACACAGTGCTCATTCATTTGATCACCGAACAGTTCGCGGTATATTCAGCAACAATAACATGGTTCTTTCAAAGTTATTCTAATGTAGTGAAGTTTATTTGAATGGATTTCGTTTTAATCTAGTTATAGGCCTATATTGTAAAAAAAAATCCGGCATAGACCACACATTTTATTTTTTGTGTGCAACCCGCTGTCAGAAATCAGGGATTAGAAATAAATACACAAACAATTACCTCAGTCATCAAATATGTTTAAAGTAAATTAGATCTCTCTCTATTTTCTCTCTTCTACTACATTAAATTAGTTAAAGAGATCATAATCGAAACAATGCAATGTAGGAAAAAATAAATCAGCTATTTTATTTTAAATGTGTATGATTGTTAGTTATTTTATTTACCAAATTATTTAGCATAATAAAATATAATAATATAATATAATATAATAATAAATGTAAACTTATTTTTAAATTACTAGTTACATTGAGAAATATTTTTGACACTTCATATTTCAGTGAATATTGTTTTCCACATAGTGTCTTTATTTATAAAACAGCCCGCGAGAGTTTTGTGGACGGTCACGTGACCAGAGGTTTTTGTTCCTACGTCAGAGACACAGAGCTGATCCTCCGCGCGACTTAACTGCCCAGAGACATCTTTCCACAGCATTCTCTGCTGTCTTTAACTTTACACTGGCTAGTGGCTAAACAAATACGCCTTATAGCAATGTAAACTGCATTGGAAACACTTAGGGAACCGTATATCTCCTGATAATGCTGTCCAGCTCGCATTAACCTGGTATATGGCTACCGTAAATGCAACAGACATGTCTCCCCGCTGAGAAAACAACCGGTGCTGTTCTGCTGCGTTCAAGTTTTCAGGTAATTTCGGTGAAAACGGTAACAACAGGCATGTTTTGTAGCCTATGGCTGTGCTATTCGACAGTGAGTGCATGGTGGCTTTATGGCATTTTAATCTGGTTTATACTATCTCGGTTTTTCCCCCAATGGACACATTTTGCTGTGCTGGTGAAAATGTGTTTTAGCATAGCATTACTACCTGTGCTTACATTAATAATAAAGCCAGTGTCACATTATCACTACAGACTCTACTTTATACATGCTACACTGCTACACGTTCTGTTGTCCACCTTGACGTGTATTTTTGTAAATTGTAATTTGTGTAATTTCTATTGTTATCTTTAATATTTTATGCATGCCTTTTTAATTAATATGTAGCTATTTAATGCTCTTCACTGTGGCTGTTACAGTGTAATGTCCCCTCTGTGGGACGGGTAAAGGTGTTGTGATTCAGTGTTGTTGCTGTCTAACCGGCCTGTTCACACACTTTGAAAAGGAAATAGCTGTGTAAAGATGTTAAGGCAGTTTATCACATGGTCTGGCAGTGAGTATCTCAGGGACTATACACATTCATGTTAGGACTTGTGTGTGATGCTGTTAAGTTAATAGCACTAATGTGTTAGCTCACTCTTAGACATTTAACTGCTTTCATGATGGGAACCTGGGCAGGATACATGTTATTATGTACATCCTGTGTTTTTTCTTTGAAATAACTTGGAGACCACACTGTCTGATCAATTAATAGAAAGATTGGATCTACTACAGAGAAACAGAGGAGAGAAACTCACTTCAGGCTATAATTTGTTGCCTATATGATCAGGCACGCTGGCTGCCTACTTTGGTTTTTGTCTGGTTGTGGTCCATAGAGCTCCATTGTTGTCCCAGAGCCTGTGTGTCTGTGCAGTTTAAGTCCATTCATGAGTGTGAGTGCATCATCAGCATAGCTTTAATGTATTGAGTTCCCTCTAAGAGGACACATACTTGTGAATCTTCTGTTGCATTAGTGTGTTTATGTGTGTATACCTGGCAGAGTCCGTAATGTCTCTTAACACAACAGAGGGTCCATCAATACCATGCCACAAAAAGACCACATCCCCAATCAATCAATATGGAAGAGCAACCTCACGCAAGTGCCTTTTCTCATGAGTGCATGAAGGAACTATTATGAGGTGATCATAGTAGTCAGTGAGGGTGTGTGCTGCCCTGTGTCTGCTGTGGATAAAAGCAGGATAAGGAAGGTCTGTGATTAGGCTTACTTTGGAGTGAGTAGGTGCCAACATCAATTTATTTGCTCAGTAAATGTAGGTGTTTCTTCCCCTACCCTTAAACTAAAATGTCAAATTCACCATAATGTTTCCAACCTTTCCTATCAAAGGTCTTATTCCTCTTAAGTCGATCCAGGAATCTTTTATTATACCCCAGGTCTGCACAGCTGAAGCCAGGCCTGATCTCGGTGTAGGCCTCAACTCAAAGTTTAATATTGCACCATCTTGTTTTAGGCGGATATTGTATAATAAGGAATAAGTCAGTGCAGTTGTAGCTGTTGCACTGGGCTTTAATATGTTGCAGTGAAGCCTAAGCACATTGTTTTATTTAACGTTGTCTTTTCCAACATGGATTGCCCTTGTTTTTTTAGTATCATGCGTCAGTTACAGTACTTCCCATTCAGTATTACACAAGAGGAAAAACCCTTCTCTTTGTGTACTTTTATGTGTCACCTACCTCACTTAGCAACTTGTTTCATAATCGTCCTGCAGATGTTATGAGATAAGATTAATATAAAACGGAGATACAATGGGCGTTATTCACAATCATCTTCACATGTCTTTTTTCTTAGTATTCTGATAACCATCTTTCTGTCTCATGCAAATGACTACAGTTCAGCTGTCACACGTTTCAAAGAGATCTGTTATCGTTGCAGTGGGAGAGTCAATCTGTGGTTCCACTGACTGAAGCAGTAGCTTGAAGTGTGTGTTTGTGTGTGTAGGTGTGGTGCTGAGCCCATGGAGAAGCCATCATCTTCAGGCAAAGCAGCTCTGGAGGAGAGGAGGGGTCTGGTGGAAGTAAGCAGTCTGCTCATGGAGACACAACTAGATACTAAAAAGAATACAGTGTGTTTTTTCTCACATTAAGAATTAAAAACATGCATGTTCCTATGCTCATTTTTAGAGACTCCTTATTGCCTGGGGATATGTGATTCTGCTAGAGCTCAAAATGTACCTCTATTACAGCAGGCCTTTTGACACAATGAATCAGCATGGAAAATATTGTGAGCTGCTAAGTTCTCAGTGTTGATACAACTTAGCATAACATGATAAAATGTCACCAGAAAAGTACAGTTTGCTAATACATTACATTTTGACATGTCAGTTATCTATGAACTAAAACTATCTGCTGTGAAAAAGACTGTTTACAGTCACTGTGATTGGGTGTATTGATTATTGCTCCACCTATTGATTTTACACTCTTATTATTGAGTTTCATGGGGAGACACATTTTTTAAAGCCTTAGTAAATTCAGAAGGAGCAGTCCAACATCTTATCCCATTGAGATTCATAATGTCTGTTAGGCCTTAAAAAGATTCAAGTTTGAAAATAAAAATCGTAGTAAGAAGTGACCTCCATAGCCCGCTCCTCATCTCTGCTTCAGTCTAGCAGCTTGACGCTCTTTGAGCCGCTAGTAGCACAGCACTCCAAAATCTCTCATTGGACTGTTGGTGGGCAAATCCCTCTATTGGTAATGTAGAATGTAAACGAATACATGGATAAAAAGAGGACATATCTTTGGGTCTAATGGTGTATACATTTTGACCCTATTTATTGAAAATGTTCCTAATGCTCCTTTAGTGCCTAAACGGCTCTAACCCTTACTATTTAATGGTGTAAAATATTTAATTAATCAGTTAAATTTGTTTAAAATAGGTACGATAATAAACACAGACATGTTATATGGATTGGGAACATTTATGGTGCATATAGAAGCATTTCAGAGGTGTATTGTTACACCCAAAGCCACCAGAAGCTGAAAATGTATTTGAAACTCAAAGTTTACATTTTGAGGCACAAGAGGATGTCTTGATGATTTTTGGTTATGTGTGTGAGGCTAATTTCTCTTTCTGTT